AATATGTCCTTTTATTACTCAAAAGTTCCTAAACATCAATTTAAGACTAAAACCAATGTCATGTTCCAATAGGATATTCACCATCAACCAAAAGAAGACTTTTCCAAATGTCTACCCCTATGAAAGTAAAGTCTACACCAATATTTCTCTAGTTGACAACCACAAAACAATCCACAAATAATGAACACAAAAGTACCAAATTATCCTTCAAAATCAACAAACTGAGTAGACAATCTTGACCACTAACTGAAAACCCAGATCAGATTATGAGTGCTGAGCAAATGCAATCAGAAATTACTTCACCTTACCCGCCGCCGCGTCGCAATAGGACCATCACCATTGTTCTATCCACACCTTAGCAAGCTTCATCTTTCCAAGCTACACACAAAGCAACATTTTAGCAATCTAATTCAATCCAATCCGAATTGTGAGGCAAAATTCAAAGCTGACCAATTCTTCTTCTACTCAAATACCCCACCTCAAACCCAATTAAAAAAACAGAATTGAAGGTCAAACCCAGAAATTCAAATCAACTATGAACACCTCCTGAAAACAAAAATTGCTAATATTTTAACAATTAAATGCTGGAAATAGAAAAAGGGACTTCTGGGTAGTTGGAATTTTGCTGGGTCAAATAAGAACACAACAAATAAAAAAAGGGGAAACTCCAACCAATTTATTTTCCAGAAATTTAACTACACAGCATAGCAAAAGTGGGTTCAGTGCAAAAAAGAGAAGAATAAAACGAAATTTCCTTTTAGGTAAAAATCCGCAAACCCCCCTTTTGTAGAGAGAGAAAGATAGTCAAAATACCTAGTGAAAGGGACATATTTGTATTGGTATTCTTCTCAAAACGAATCTAATTTAATCAGACTTTGAGAATTAGAAAGTTTCATGCTTTTACATTTTACCAACTCAAAGATTTAATTTTTTTTTATTAACCCATTAAAAAATCAAATCTTTTCACATGAAGATGAAGAAGAAGACAAGAAGATGAATGGGTAAATAATACAGTATGCTGAAAACAAAGCAAATGCAGAAATATGGAGTTTTTTTTTTTCCTTTTATCTTTTTGTGGAAATTAACTGTTAAAAAAAAAAAAAAAAAAGAGAGGTTATTATGTGGGCCCACAAAACCCACGAGAAGAAAGGGAGAGAAAGAAGATGATGGGTTGGGTTTGGGTTGGTAGCTGAGAGAAGGAGCATGATGATGATGATTAATTAAGACAATGACTGTTATTAGTAGTAATTGGTGAGAGTTTGACTTTCTACTCCATTAACAAGCTACTCACTTTGGATTTCTTATTTTGTTAGCGATACTCACTTTGGATACTTAGGCATTTTCAATTTTAATTTTTACACTAAAAAGAAATGTAATATCGAGTAATTGTGCACCTCATTTGTGTTATAACTAAAAAAGGTCGTGGTATGAATGTGATAGATTTTGTAGGATAGACTTTTGTTTGTAAGAATATTTTTTTTTGAAAAGTCTATATGTAATTCAAGATGTGAATAAATATGGGTTTAGGAGTGTTTAATACAAAGTGTGATATGTTTTCTAGTTTGTAGTGGGTTAGCTAGTAGATTTGAGATTTACTACCGGGACAAGGCGACAAGCTAAGGTGAAAAAAAATGTCCAAGTTCAACATTTTGGTGAGTTTGATGATTTGAGTTATTTATATCATCAATAAGATTACGGACAACTATATTTAGAGTTTGAATTAAATTATTGAGCTAAACAATTTAAATATTCGCTATCACTCAAGTGAACTTTTCTAAATACTCCATTTTGAGTTTAAAAGATAGAACTTGACTCAACAACAAACGATAACATAAATTATAATACCTTAGTAGTCTCAATTGGAGTGGAAATATATTTTTCCTATGGGCTCTTATCATTGTATTGAAAGAGGCTTTTTATCAACTTTTTGAATAATAAAATCAATATCATCATTTTACAAATACTGATACATCATTTCACAACAAATTTACCATATTGATTATTTGAAACATCTAACCTTGATCATGCATCATTATTTATATGTAAAAATTTATGTAATTATTTTAATTATTGTTGGCTTACTCTCATGTATGATTTTAAAATAATTTTATTTTATAACATGTAACTAAAATTATTAATGATTAAAGTAGTTTTATAGATAATCATAAAAGTCAAAATGGTGCATGTATTGCGAAACAAACGAATTATTATTGATTATAAAGTACGAAATAATTTCTATAGACAATCATAAAAGTCAAAATGATACAAAGATTGTGAAATAAAAGAAGTATAACTAAACATTTTCTATCTTTACACTAGTATAATTTTACACTATTAACATTTTTTTTTTCAAGAAAGAGGATGTACGAGTTTGTAATTATACACTCGAATGTAAGTTGGATTGCGAATTTGCAAATTGCGATACCCCATTATGGGGCATATGTGGGCATCAAATAATTGTAGAACAGAGAACAGACCATATGTGGGCATGGGCTGTGGGAATACCAACTTGAAAAAGGTATGTAAACCCAAACCCAGAAAACATTATCCTATCTAATTTTACACATGTCCTGTTAATTGACATCATTTCTCTGGCTCAAATTATCCCTCCTAATTCTTATGGATCACATTCAATCCTCATTTTCCAACCTTTTTTCATGGAGAATTTTTTCTTGTACCCTGATTTTTTTTTTGAAAAATCAAATTCACTTGAAACTTGAAAGTGATTTTAGTCAACTTCTTCTCCATTCATTTATAAAATGTTGTATTTTTCCTTAGAAAAAGTTCAGCTTTTGCTACATTAAGCAATTTGTTCTTGCTTCAAAATGTGATTAAAAAGAAAGGATGATTAAGCTACCAATTCTTCATCAACCCCAAATATTATTACCATTAGAAGATTGCCCACAAATCCCAGATTGCAATTTAAAGAGGAGAGTGAAAGAATGTGTTTCCTTGTTGAAGAAATGCAGAGCCATGGAAGATTTGAAGCAAATTCATGGGCAAATGAACAAATTGGGATTGTTTTGTGATTCTTTTTGTGTTAGTAATTTGCTAGCTACTTGTGCTATCTCAAATTGGGGAAGTATGGATTATGCTTCATTAGTTTTTAGCCAAATTGATGATCCAGGTACATTTGAATTCAACACCATGATTAGAGGGCATTCTAAACATAGTGATTTTGAAAGTGCACTTAAACTGTTTGATGAAATGCTTGAAAGAGGAAATTCACCTGATAATTTTACTTACCCTTTTGTTTTAAAGGCATGCGCTGGTGTGGGTTTGATGAAGTTTGGAAGAAACATTCATGGGCAAGTTTATAAATTTGGTTTTTCTGATGATTTGTTTGTGCAGAACAGTCTGATCAATATGTATGGGAAATATGGGAATATAGTGGACTCTTGTGCTGTGTTTAAGGAAATGGAACAGAAAAGCGTTGCGACTTGGAGTGCTCTTGTTGCAGCTCATGCTAATTTGGGTATGTGGTGGGAGTGTCTAGAGATTTTTGGGGATATGATGGAGATGGGAAGTTGGAGAGCAGAAGAGAGCACTTTGGTTAGTGTGATTTCTGCTTGTACTAATCTGGGTGCCCTCGATTTGGGAACGTCGATACATGGGTACTTGATGAGGAACTTGAGTGGCCTAAATGTTATAGTTGACACCTCTTTGATTGACATGTACATAAAATGTGGCTCTATAGAGAAAGGGCTCGGCCTTTTCAATAAGATGAAGGCAAAGAACCGATTGTCTTACAGTGTGGTGATTTCAGGCCTTGGGATGCATGGGCATGGTCACAAGGCACTTCTGCAGTTCTCAGAAATGGTTGAGCCAGATGATGTTGTGTATTTAGGTGTGCTAAGTGCTTGTAGGCATGCCGGCCTTGTAGAAGAGGGACTAGAATTATTCGAGAAAATGAGGCATGAGCATAAAATACAGCCAACAATCCAACATTATGGTTGCATCTTAGATCTCCTAGGCCGAGCTGCCATGTTTGATGAAGCTTTTGACCTGATTGAGAAAATGTCAATGTCACCCAATGAAGTAGTGTGGCGAAGTCTCCTAAGTGCTGCTAGAATTCATTGTAACCTGGAAGTTGGAGACAAAGTAGCTAGAAATCTGATGCAACTAGGCTCAGACAACGCTGGAGATTATGTAATGATGTCAAATATGTATGCTCGAGCTCAGAAATGGACAGATGCAGCTTCTGTTCGAAGTATGGTGTCAAACAGGGGATTGGATCAAGCTGCTGGATTGAGTTTGGTCGAGGTAAAAAGAAAGATGTACAGATTTGTATCACAGGACAGATCGCGAAGCAATTGGGAAGAAATCTATGAGATGATCCGCCAAATGGAATGGCAATTGAAATTCGAAGGGTATGTGGCAGATACTTCAGAAGTTCTTCACAATGTAGATGAAGAAGAGAAGAAACAAAGGTTGAGATATCATAGTCAAAAGTTGGCCCTTGCTTTTGCACTTCTACTTACCCCTGAACATACAACTATCCGAATAGTAAGAAATGTCAGGATGTGTAGAGATACTCACACATACACAAAGTTTGTCTCTGTTGTCTATAACCGCAAAATAATTGTAAGGGATCGAAATCGTTTCCACCATTTTAAAGATGGAAATTGCTCTTGTAGAGATTACTGGTAAATAAATCTTCATTCTTCTCAATTTTTTCTTCTTCTATGAGCTTAAATTTCAAATGATATGAAATAAACAAAAAAGACAATGGAATGCATCGATCTTCGAAAGTTAAGACCGAAAGTAGCTCAAAAGATGGAAGATAGACTAATAGAGTATATGTAAAATTTAAATTTTTTGGCTAATTGGGCAGTAGAGTGTTACATTAAGCACTAAACAGTCAGATGGGGTTTAGGGGTATAAAAATTGAGTGAAAAGACGAAAAGATACAAAGTAAGGGACATTAGGAACATTGTGCAATTTGCACCCCTCCTTAAGCTGTATATGGCGGAAAAAAGGGCTCAAATGACCGCCAAAGCTTTTCAAAATACAAGTACTATATTTTCAATTCAAAAGTATGAAGGAAATATGAACCCTGGAACACTTACAAATTCAGGCCTTCCAATTCAAATATTCAAATGCTATAACCAATCGAGTTTCAGTGCCCACACCAAAAGAAGCAAATACACTGATTTTTAGCCCGCATCGTAATGCTACAGTTTACACATATACATATCTTGGATTACTGCATTAGCCCATGGTCTGCTAAAGCAGACAATTTTCAGCATCTACAATATGAAGTTGGACCAGAATAGACAAGCACATTGTTATTAAAAAAATTAAGAATAGACCACGCACGTGAGGAAGCAGGTATTAATTATTTGGGTGAACAGCAACTTGGTGAATGTCCATCTCTTTCAGCATAACCGAACGCCCACAGGAATCACATGGTGCAGTTCTAGAACCACAAACACTCTCATGCTCTGTAAGTCCTCTAAACCTATCTCGCATATCCATAGGGGAACTCCCAGCTTGAACTATGTCTCCGCAGAACCGGCAAGTAATCATTCGCATAGGACAATCTGAGGATTGATGTTGAACCTGCACAAAAAGATCAATTACAGGTGCAGCGAATCAGAGAACATGCTCACAAGTGAACCACCCAGCAGAGTGTTCAATACCCAACCTCAAATAATATTAGTTCATGCTAGCGTAACATAAATAATACAAAGTAGTACTTAAAAAGCTAATGTTCTAATATCTCCATATGAAATTAATGTTTCAATTAAATGTAAAACATTTGAGATGAAGATAATATTTCAATACTAGGCATTCCTTAATTTAATGGTTTGATGATTAATTGCCATAATCTATGTCGAATCACTGGTAGATTTACTAATATAATATCTACATTTTGAAAAACTCACCATTTCTTCCTTTTCAAGAATTACGCCGCATGAACAATGAAGGGGCTCATGGAACACGATCATGTGCTTCTCCATCTCTGCTTGTTGAAAAGCCTTTCCACATTTATTGCAATGCACGTGGTTCTTAGCATCCTCCAATCTTAGAATGACACCGCAGCCTGCATACTGGCACGCAACATTGTGTCTACGGCAATAAGCTTCATGCAAAGCTATACTTCTACTAGGTATATAGTGCTTGCAATTCCCACATTCTACAGAGTCCACATCAATAGATGAAGTGGACAACCCAGCTTGCTGACCACAGTTAATACTATCCTGAATATTCACCAATACCTTGTACTTTGTTGTTCCCTTGAAGCCATAAATACCAACACTATAAGTACCCAACCCGAGATTCTGATCCTGAGAGTTAAGAATCAAAGTCTTGGAACCCATATCATGGGAAGACCAGTGGTGCTGATGGTGTGTGGGAAACATCAGCGGATGTTTGGATATGTACAGATCAGTATCCCCAGAGTCTGTATCAGCCTCCAACTTTACTTCTATTCTGGCATTGCCAGGAGCAATTGTGGTCCACATATCATTGTCAAGCGAGAATTTGTAATACATATATACCCCTTCCTCAACAACTCCAGATTCTGGTGCTCCAAAAGTGAGCGGTATCAGGACCTTTTGGTTACTCTTCTCAGAGGCTGCATCAGGATTGACAATGTCAACCTCAATATCTGTCTCCAAGACAGAAACACTTGGGGAGGGCTTTAATTCAAGGACACGTATCTTGAATGTAAGCTCTCCATGTCTAACTGTAATCACCTCATCTTGAGAAAGAGTAGCATGCTGGCGAAGGCTTGTTTCAAGGACAGCCTTGTGATTTGGTAAGTCCAAAAAACTAATATCCTCTGGTTGAAGTTTTGCATATGATCCTTTTGACAATCGAACATACTGGATCTCAATCAATGGGTGAGCTGGTGCTTCTGAGGGAAATAAATTACTCCATACATGTGGAGGAAGAGCAACAAACCCTTCTTCTGCTGTAAACTCCAACACACCTGAATGTGTCACTCCATGACTATCGCTATTAGCAGAGGTGTCAGAGGAGCTCTCTTGACCAGCGATGGACAACCGGAAGTATACAGGCCCTTTGTCAAAAGCACCTTGGTCAGACAATCCAGTGAAGCAGGATGGAGGCAGCTTAATCTTATCTCCAACACCTGGATAAAGAATGGCTTCTAAGATGCGATGAAACATGATTCCTCCTCCAGACAATAAATTTTCGGCTATTTGCTCATCTGCCTACAATACATAATTAGATAGAGTTTAATAAATATGTGCATGTCAATCAAACACTAAAACTAGAAGAGAGGACAGAGTAGAATCTCTGCAGACTAGCCAGTAGACGAAGTGAAAGATTGTAATTACATTGGTTATATTAACTTTTGATGATTAAATTCATCAGCAAACATTAACACATATCAACTACTCATCTTTTTAAGTCTTAATTACAAATAATCCTCTTTTTCCTATCAAGGTTTTGAAGCATTTTGAAGCCTAAGCTTATACTTTCTTTGTCCCACTAAGATTGCCTCATATCCTGCATTTTTTAAGAATTGACCCAATTGAAAACACATGCTTTCCAAAAATTTCCCACTTTATGCCAGTACACTAAGATATTGAACTGCATCATTAACAAAGTATAGGCACAACAATGGCAATTAATAACATCACATCCACAAAACCAAAACTCGTAACCAGAAAAGGTCCAAATGCTGGGGAATCAGACGTTCAGACCCCTAGATTGACAAACGGATGGCAAATTCTACGGTATCTTCAAACCTTAAAACCTAATTAAAAATCCGTTGAGGCGGTACACGAGATTACAAGCTAACCAACCCCTAGATTGACAAGCGAATGGCAAATTCTACAGTAACTTCACAACCTTGAAACCTAATTAAAATTCCGTGGAGGCGGCACGCGAGATTACAAGCTAACCAACCCCTAGATTGACAAACGAATGACAAATTCAATGGTACTCTCAAATAGCATTCTTCATCAAAGCTGATGGCACCAACAGAAGCAAGTGAACACTCTAGAAACATCCAACTTCATATACTACACCATTCTCACACCTTAAGACATCTAATCAATCAAAAAAAATGCCTAAATTGATTCCATTTGTTCTTCTATAACAGAATTTCACACCTAACAAACACAATCTCATTTTTTCTGTAACTTATTAATCAATTGAAATTGAATTCAATCGATTCAAACAATCCACAATTTCTTCAACAAAATCGCACGCCAATAAATTCCGAATAAAAATGAAATTAGGGCAAAACACAAACCTTAATCTGAGCTTCGGCAGCATCAAGACGACGAGCTCGCTGAACTTCTTCAACGGCTTGACGTTGTCGAGAAGCTTCTTCTTTAGCCTTCCTTTCTCTTTGAAGCTTCAATTTGGCCATCTCTTTCCTCTCCTTTTGCTCTTTCTGCAACTTTTCTCTTGCTCTTCGAAGCTCATAATCCATATTTGAGGTTTCTGGTTCTTTGAGTCTTCTGGGTTGATTTTCGATGAAGAAGAAATGAATGGATTAGATCGCAAGAAATGAAGCTTGAAGAGAAAGAAATAAGAGAGAATTGTATTGTTAAAGATGTTTTGGTGGGAGAAATTAAGAAGATTCTACAACTATTTGTTTGTATTTACCACCTTCAAAGGGGAAGGGGTAGATTTTAACGAGTTTGCCAATTCATTGCTTACATCACTTGGAATTTATACCCTTACTCCCTCCATTTTGTAATAATCGCAACACTTTGACTTTTAAACTATTTATATGCTTAATTTGACTATACTTTTTATCTATATAAAATACATATATTATCAGGTAAAATATTTTTGAATTAGTCTTATGTATATTTGTATTAGATTAAGCTTTAAATACTACGTATTAATGGTCAAATTTGTGTATTGGCATGTGTGCCACTTAAAGAGTTGCGATTATTCTGGAACGGAGAGTGTATAACTACTCCCTCTGTCTCAAAATAATTGAGTGATGAGAGAGTCAAATTTTGCACATATACATGTCGATGCATTAGTTTGACCTTAATTATATACGAATTATAATTAAATATTAATAAAAACTATAAAAACGTTAATATTTTGAAACTTTATATTAATATATATCAAATAACATAGTTTATGAAAACATTCGTGTTTAATTGATTACCAAAAATTTGTGGTCAAAGTTAGTATATGTTGTGAAAAAAGTCAAACATGTTAATTATTCCGAAACAAAAGTAGTAGTATATTGCTCGCATAATTTATACATGTATGGAGTAAATCATTGTGTTAATTTTGTAGGTAATTTAAAACAAACTTAGGCCCTGCTCATCTATTCACATATTCCGTATTCACAAACGTTCAGACTCGTTACACTATTCGCATATTCCGTATTTTATTTACATTAGGAGTACCCCTCGTGAGGAGGGCATCCTAATGTTTTTTTATCTTACCTTCAAAAAAAAAAAAAAAAACCGTATTTTACTTTTATACGTATAATTTAAATCAAATTTAGTTTAATACGAAGTACCAAACACTATCCCAACTAAATATAACTTCAAATTTATGGAATTGAACCCTGCACCACTCTTTTATGGGAAAACATGCGGTTAGATTTGAGTGCTTAAGATATGATCCATATTCATATCAGAACTATATCACATTATCACTAAATTTCTACTACTGCAAATTTATTTTGAAGTTTCATAAACAATAATGTATCTTTCATTTTTAGCAATATTCTACTCTTTATTTGAGGTATTATAAGCAATCAAATTTAATACTCAGGTAAGTTGATTAACAGAGTATTACAAGTAGCTAAACTCGAGTACATGTGAATGGATTTCACCATCGAGGCATCGAGCACAAACCCAAATCCTGTTCAGGTTAAGTTAAGATTTAGTTGATATTTGCTGAAGAAATTCTTGATGTGATCTCCTGCAACCGTGGATCACCATTTTCCAAACTCACGCCATTAGGATCTTCTCTAATCGGAAGAGCCAAAACATTGAGTGAGCTCCATGCATTTGCAACTTTGCTGCTTATATCACTTAATGTTACTGCAAAAACTGCATCAAATCCACCTGCTCCAGGAATTCCAGCCAACAAGACACCCTCTATATCCATGGTAGTATCCAAAAGCCGAGTTTGTGAATCTGGTTCAATCTGTAATAAGAAGAATTATATAAATACGTGTACAATATAACCAATACAACTGAAATTTTATATGTTTCTTTCATTGAGTGGCTTTGTATGCAACCACATTTAAAGAAAATGTTTAGGAAATGAGAGCCCTTTGTCCATCTAACTTGATTCACCCTGAGGGACATGGAGCTTCTCATTAGCAATCAAGGCGATATACAATGTATTGAAGGCATGTCAATTAAAGACTAAAAGTAAACATAAGATCATGATAGTCAATTAGATAGTCAATTAACACTTATTGGTTCACTTGCACTTCTGAGAGGCAGAGCAAGGAGGAAAAAAATGTTACACATTAAAAATAAATAACTGGATAAAATCCTCACCGGGACACCAGCAGCTTCTCCCATCCGACGCATATGACCTCTAATGTCAAACATCGCATTCCTAGCTCCTAGTAGTGCTTCAACAACTGCTTGCTCACTTGGGGCAACTGATTGTTCCATCCACTGCGTTCAGAAACTGTTAGATTCTTTTCTTTTTGGGTAGAAAGCAAACTACAATGGTAAAATCACAGTATTGAAGCAAAAAAGGTTTGGTATGCAAAGATAAGAGAAATGCAGAAAACAACAGAATAGATAACAAATCCACATGCCATGCACTATTCATTCCCATACAACCAATCTTATGAAGGCATGTCTAACCAATTGATTCACAGAAAAAACTTATGTGAAGAAGTACGCCATAAGGCCCCATAACCATGAACAACAGATATCCACTGCGAAAAGTAAATCTATCGGAACTAATGTGAACCATGCACTTCTGCACCACTCAGCAATCATTAAATATTCACCAGGGGTTACCTTTTCTGATTTATGCTGGCAACATCTATCAATGATGCTGTCATATCCCATGCGTTCTTCCTCTGCTAGTTTCTTCAACTTATTTAACTGTTTCTCAAGCATTGAATTTGCTTCTGACAATTTTGTGAACGTGTAAAGAGATTTTTCAGGTTCAGATTTCTGCCACCTCTTAACAGCACCAACCATTGATGGTGTGGAAGATCCGCCACTTCCTGGCTCTCCAAGCAACTGCAAATGACAATAATAATCAAGAAGAAAATACACATAAAGCCTTATAATGTATAGCATGCGTCCAGCTGTCCAGAGTCTCCACACAATTCCTCTTCCATTAGAGCTTTTGGCCAACTATATATAGGTTTAGGTTTAATGAAGATGAAGTTGAAGTCACCTATGAGGGCTTTACATGCAAGAATTGTTTTGTAGGCTAGTGTGGAGCATGGAAACCACTTGGTACAGATTGGCTGGTGACTCATGGCAAGATTCAAGCCAAGGACAGTCAACAACCACTAACTCACTAAGAAGGCCCGACGAGAATTGGGGAAGCAAATCCATAAAAGTCTCAGTTAAAGCAAGAGACTGCAGGCCTCCGTAAACAAATTGACACAGACACTCTTCACATCAAACGTTTTTCATGATTTTTTTTTTTTATCGAATATGAAGTCTAAATGGATATCAGTTTCTTCAAGCCCTTATTCATGTAGTCCTTCTTTAAACTGATGTTATTTTATACATAGTATGAGAGGATTGAGCTGATGTTATCGAGCATCTCACAAGGAAAACGGCATAGGATAGGTCATTTGTGCTCCAGTAGAATACAACATATCATAGGTGCAAAATAAATCTATCAACTGATCCAGTGTGGAGACAAGATCCAGTAGTAGCTTATAAACAGATAAAAAGAGTTGAGCTACCCAATTATCAATGGGGACCAGCCTTCACTAGAAAGAAGTTTAATAGAGAAACCGGAGGGTTTGCACGCTCATAAGGGCTGGAAGGGGAAACCAAAATAATGGGAGAAGCTACTTGATCATACAAAAGGAGCAAAGCATATCACCCCCTTATTTAGTATGTTTAGGGTGTGATCAACATACTAAATGACTATAAAGTACAAAAGAAGAAACACTATTGTATAGTTAAAACACATTTAATGTTAGAACTCATTTTGATGCTTAGTAGCTGGGGTGGGGGAACAGAGATTAAGGAGGGTGGAAAAGCAGGGAGAAAAAAGTGGGTGGATGGGTATGGGTCTAAGGAGGAAAAAGTTATAGCAGAAAAAAATTTGGAAAACAGAAGAGTGTTAAATATGAGTTTAAACATTCTCTTTTGGTATATGTCAACCTTGAGCTTACAGAAGAAAAAGGATTAGAAAATACGAAGTATATGATAAGTGCGGGTAGAGTAGGCCAAAGACAGCCGCTAGTGAGAGAAGTACTTCCCCTACACACCCAAAGGGAGACCACACAATAGCAAAACATCTATCTATATACAGATCGAAATATTACAATGTGCTCATGACCATTGGTTTCCTACCAAAACAAAAACTAGGGACAGTAATTGCCATATATGCATAAAATCATATATCTTGAGGAATCAAAACTAGCTATTAGTTCATGATGTACAGGAAACTGATAAAAATAAATCAAATGTCTCAAAGAGGTGGAATAAATGAGATAATGGGTGAATCAATTTATTGATGGAGAAATCTACAACATGATAGTGAAAAACAAAGGAACAGAAAATGACGTTTTTGCTTTAAGTTTTTATCAGCTAATCTGCCATGCAAAGAGATGAAGTCTCTACTTACAAGAGTCATTCGTGGTGGCAAAGCAAACCTAGTCATCTCATGATCCCACTTTCCTTCCATGACATCAACAATGACTTCACGAAGTAGTGCTCCTATCCCTGCAACCTAGAGATTCATGCAGACACTGTCATTTCTCCATTTCCCCTTTTATCTAGGATCAAAATACAATTCTATGACACAGGTGCATCAATATATATAATTCCATTAGAGAAAAAGATTGCATGCATAAATTCTTACATCAGCTTCAACATCTAGAACCTCAGCACATTTATTTACAAATGAGCACTCGATTTATATTTTGCTACTCCAAACCGACAAGATATTTTTACCTATTACATACAAGAATCTATGGAGAACATAAAATGTCAAACTCGCATTCTTATGATCTGCCCATTTAATAGTCCCTATTTTAAGGGATGGTTTGGAAGAGCGAATCTTTGAAATTCTCACTTGCCAAACTGAAATATGTCACTTTAAACTGCTAGACGACCTGCCTAAAGTACAAGCGTTCACTACGAGTCTAGTATAGTTCAAAGAGGCAGTCATATTGTATACAGCTAATTCGTTCAAGGAATAGCACATACATTCAATGAATGTCTATTAAGAAAAGTTCAAGCCATATCCATGTCAAAAACAGAATACACTTTCATCAACAAATTTGTCCTCTAGAAGTCTCAATATACATCTCAGGTCTCAACCAATAGCAAATCCTATCTACCAATTACTAACATCTAATAATTATCAAAGGAATTAATAATCACTAATCCAAGAAAGGAGAGTATGAGAGAGCAAAAAGGGACCTGAGCAGATGATAGAACTTCTGGTGAAAAGCGGACATAACGTTGACTTCCATAAACTGCACAGCTAACATCAAACCCACTGCCAACTTTCCCTTGGGCAATGCAATGAGAAGTTTGAGCTATCATGTGCACTAGATCAAGATCAGCATTATTACTTTCCTGAAGATGACATACACCAAGATAATGAAGGAGAGCAGCAACCACTGCAGTCGTCATTGCTGCAGATGAACCCAATCCAGTTTTAGCAACTTCAGGTTTGCAATGTGCACCATTTGCATTGTTTGCATTGAAAGTAATTGAAGAAAAAGGAGGGAGTACAGACAATGATTCAGGGGTGAGAGGCAGTCCACGAGCTTCTAACTGTCAGACAAAAAGGAGTATTATAAATGTATCAGATGAGATTTAGCACCCCCCACCCCCACCCCCGCCCCCCCCCCCCCCCCCCCCCCCCCAAAAAAAAAAAAAAAAAAAAAAACACACGCACACACACACCAAGACATCAGCTAAGCGAAACGATAGGTAGCCTTATCTCATGACTTTCACTTTATAGGTCTGCATCTAAAGACAAGCCAAAGCTTGAATGAAAGGCAATGCTCCGATAAAAAATGGATATTCTTTTCAAATTATTTCACTGTTGTCCATTAGCTCATTGGGAACAATTTGGTCTAAAATAAAAAAAAAAAAACCTTTGTTTCTGTCATGAGTAGAAGATGATAAGCAGTACTAGAATGTGGAACAAAGTAGCTATGGTACTTAAGATGTACTTTTATTTATCTCTCCTGTTAGCCTTGTTATCCAATATATATCAGACATCGACAATACAGGGATTCATCAAACTACACCTTTCTCTTTATGTCGGCTTACATCAACAGTTCAACACGATGCTCAGCTAGAGATCACAGCACGAAGAAATTCCTAATGCAATTTGCTAGAATATTGAGATTAGGCAGCTTCAACCTCTTTATATAGTCCATCAGTATGCATAGAAAAGAAAAATTAAAAACCATAACTATAAAACCAGCTCAGAAACATTTGTAAGCTGTGAAAACAACTGTCTCATCGAATGTAAAGTGTATAACTTTGCAGATAATTGTGCTTCACCTAAAATGACTCCCACAGAGAAGGACATGTGACATGGTTGCTGGACTTCTGCTGCAGGTTTTTTTTTCTTTTTTTTTTCCCCATTCTCTATATTATATCTGACATAAAAATCTTAGCTACTTGTTCTTGATAGTTAAATCCTCCTGCCTAGATCAACCTGGTTTCCTGCATATGACACTATACAGCTGGTTTCTTGCCCAGATCTGCTTTAACATGGTCACCCCGATTTAAAAGTATATGGAAAGCTATCACTTCTAGGCCAAACGATGCACTATGTCACTTTTCTAGATAGCAACATTATGCACTCAAGTATTTCCTTTGATTCTCACTTTAAAATCACTAATTGCTAATCGTGACGTACTTAGGGACATATGATTTTATTGAGAAGTCAAAATAAAACAGTAGAACTTGATAGAAAAATATTTTATACCTGATCCCGATATGAATAAAACTCATTGGCACCCATAATAGTGATATCAAGACCTGCATCACTAAGCCACTTAAGACATCACATTCAGGAAGCCCGAACTTTATTCCAATTAAGCATATCAAATATTGATATCTAATTTATCACCTTGTAAAAGGTGTTTCTGCAGTATATCCTTTTTATCTTGGTCAATCCTAGCATGGGCAGCTGCTATAGCATACTGCACAGCTTGTTCCACAAAAGGGTTTCTTGCATCACTGAAATATTAGAATGATAAATTCATACAGTGAACATCACGTCATTTTTATTTATGTTCTTGCTTCCTCTGGCACTTAATATGGCAAAAGAAACAGCCAAATCACATCAAGGCAATTCTCTGGCTCAATTAAAATTAATCGTGTTTTTGAAAACTTATCAGAGGAGAATATTTAAAAAAAAAAAAAAATTGTCTGAAGCTGCATGTTGGTAAATCAAAACAAATACAACTCTTACGGATATAAATTCATCCGGTTATCTACTAGATTTTAATTTTTTAAAGAAAAATAAGGTGCTATCCTAAAATGAAAACACATACATCAACAAACAACCACACATACAGACACCTTTTACTCCTTCAGTAAAAAGAGATTGCTGGTAAAATCTGCCAAATTAAATCAGCAAAAATTGATTCAACACAATGATTCACCTCTGCACCTGACCCGTCATATTTCATACACAAACACAAGTAAATAATTGTACATTTAAAGCCTGAACAATGATCTGTCATCTTTCAGAAGTTCTCATATGTTATATTCCCGTAAAACATAATGAAGCCCAGACTAAAGTGTTGAGCAGTATATACTTGGCTGCATTGCATGCTAGTATTCCCAGTTTTACTATTTGATTGGGACACATGCCATCATTCTATGATGCCACAATAATGTCAGCATCAAGTATTAAGTAATATGTTTTCTATCTAGTCAAAATAACTGTGAAGCTGTAAGAGAGCTACTACATTGGTTCCCAAAAGTTTTCTTCCTCAATATTAGGCTACTAGCTAATAGCTATTTTACAAAACATAAGCCACTATCGGGAAGGAGCTGTGAACATAAGATATAGCTCAACAATTGAAAAAGCATGGCACAATGAACTATGAAGTAGATAAACAAAAATGCATAAACACAAGTGATATAAATCTGAAGCGCCAAAAACAAGGAACTACTGCCAACATGATGTGAAATCCATAGTAACTGCAAAGAATACTTGCCTTGATGAAACACAATGGAGAGTTAACTTCTGCATTGAAAATTTATACATCGTTTCCCTTGCAAGTTGAGGAGATGTTAGCTTCACATCCATCCATGACTGAAAAGGAGCAAGGAAAGACTTATAAGTTTGACAATAAAAGAAACAATTAAATCGTTCCTCAATCCAGTAAGGTAACAAATTTTGATATAAAAGACATGACAAGCTCTTCCATATGCAATGTACTGACTTTTAACATTACAGATTAAAGAATTCATTAACTCACTGGTATTGAACAACTAGAACAAAAGCCTTTTCATAAACAGTGCACTTTATTGCTTTATATACATCCAAAAGAATATCACATGAATCTCTTTTAGTATGATTTTGAATTCAGCTATCACAGTTGATGACCCTCCTCCCCTTTCCGCAAAATGTAGAATACTAGAATAGACAACAATACCAACTTGAAGAACAGGATAAAACTTTCCATTTGTCAATTGTAAAAAATGACAACCAGTGTTATTAGAACTCTTCATTACAACTAACTAAATGTGTATAGGTACACAACAGTTGACATTCCAACATTGCTATTAACACTCCATGTTTCATACAGATTGGATTAAAAAAGGCAGCAAAAAAATCAAATTATAAAAGACGAGTTCTACACTCATCTACAGTCCTACTCTGACATATCCATAATTCATGTATAATAGGACAAAGAAAATACGTAATCCAGCCACCACATAGTTAACCAAGTACTTAACATGAACAAAATCCACATACCCATGCCCAACTATCAGATTTTACATCATCATAGATAGGCTTCACGATAGCATAAAACCGAGCATTGGTACTCAGCACCAGTCCGGCATTTGGTCTCTCCAAAACAAGATAGCCCCCAGTCATCAAGACTTTCCCAGGAGCAGAAGCAACTCTGTATATCACAAAGACATCAATCATAAAACCACAATCAACAAATCGATGATGTCAATAAATTTACCTATAGTTCCAATTAAGATTTAGCACACAATATGAAATCAACCCATTAATCCACCAGGGTAACTGACTGATTCTAATGAAAAGCATAAACCATCTCAGATGGTGCAAGTAAATCAATGTAGATTTAATAGAAAATCACTTACACTTCCATCACGCTGTTGAGCTTCTCGACTTTCACTACAAGATTTGAAAATTCAACTGCTAAGATAATCACCATTAATCAGAGGCAGATTCATACAATTCAATCAAAAAAACAAAATCCAATCCCACAGTCCAAATTGCAAATTACAATGAATTTGATTACTTCTAATTCCTATAACGTTATTTGAACTTATTTTTCCTAAATTGAACTTATTAGGTTATGTGATAGGTTCGTCCACAGTAAATTCATGTAGTTCAGACGTAGGTAAAAAAAACAGAAGAAATAATTTATACTCTGTAAGTAAGAAAAAACATACTACTTGCATTTAATTGTGCATCTTCATACTTTCAACTTTTAATAATTTTTTAGCTATTGATACTTTGAGAATATTTTATTCCATACTCTTTTCGTATATTTTATTACTTCATACGCGAAGTTGAGGAATAATAGAAAGTAATAAACATAAAAAGGGAAATAATTTTTTAGCTATTGATACTCTGAGAATATTTATTTTAGTTGAGGAATAATAAAAAGAAAATGAAACAAATAATAAAATACGCCCGGAAAAAAAAAAGAAAAAAAAAAGTAATAAAATATGAAGAGAGTAATAGTCAAAATGACGTATAATTGTACGTCTGTATCGAGTTTTACGTGTCAATTATTCGAGATGGGAGGTATCATATGGACTACGGAGTAGCTAAGTTGGGTGGGCGGAAGCCATGTTGCCACGTTTGTGAGGTTTCGAAGCATATAGCGGACATTCTCATATTCATTCATAGCAACGAATTGGAATCATCTTGTGCATCTTCCATGGCAGCTAACTTCCTCAATCCACCAAACGTTGGTTCCTCACTCTCTCCCCTTAATATTGTTGCTTGTTTATTTATTTTAAATTTTAATCAATCGATGAATTCCATCGTTCCATTTTTGCACTTTCAAGTATTCTGTTGTGTATTATATTTATTGATGTGCTTTAAATTGCTGCTAATTTGTAGTTGAGATTTATTTCATGTAATGCTCTTTTCAATTCTAACCTCATTACTACAGATTATAGCTAAATTATTAGCAAAACCTAGCTTTAATTTATGGGAATTTTAACTTTCTGACATTTGTGTGTATTTTTTTGGGTTAATAAGACGTGTTAAGTGGAATTGATGGAGATTCTGAGTTAGGAACATTAGGGGAAAATGTGTTTTTTTTATTTTTTAATTTTTTTATAAGTATACCACTCATAACTGAGCCCGAATCCGGATTAGCCCAAAGGGTGAATCGGGTGGAACACCAAAAAAAAAAAAAAAAAAAAAAAAAAGGTATGATTCGGAATTACTCTAGAATTCATGTGTTCGAATACTCTAGAATTTGATGATGAAGTTGAGTCAAGAGGGAGTTGGGTAAGAGGGATATAGGTAGAGGTGTAGAGGGATTGCCAGGTTCAATTTCCTGATTTGCAACAAAATCTTTGTCATATATAACATGCTAATTTTGGGGCCTGTTTAGGTGAAATTTAATCCATACAGTAGAAATGGCAGTTTTAAGAGAGTTCTTTGCTGACAATTTAGGTCATAGTCGGACACAGGTATGAAGGTTTTATTAAAATTTGAGAACTATAGAATTTTTCCTTGGATTGTAATATAGTGTGCTCTGATGCCCATACATGAACCCTGCTGATGGACAACTAATATAATTGGGGTTTGCTGGCCAACTTAGGAAGTTAGGAAGAGGAGAGGGCAGGTTAAGATGAGTAGTCGTGCAAACCAAGTTGTATATGTGTTTGAAGGTAATGAGTATGCTATTCATTACTCGTACTTATATTACCTAATATTCAAAAATTGAGGAGTATCTTGGAGTATGTGCTAAGAGAGTGCAATTTTCTGGTAACATTTGAGCTAAATTTTTGGGAATTTAGATTTTAATAACCTAAGAGTAGTATTTGTATGTGGAAGGTATAATCTAGGAATTTATTCTTTAATTACTGCAGAACTATACCGTAAGAGTGGTGTTTTCTATGCATGCCATCAAGATAAAGGGTAATTTTTTTTTCTGAATACAGGAAGTTTGCAAGTTGGTATTTTATATCAAAACCCAGAAAATTGAAAGAGAACTGTGTGCTCATGTACTACGTATTTTATATGATATTTTACAATTTTTCCCTCCTGAAGAACCATGAAAATTAACACCACAAGCTTTTTCTTTCTGCTGCAACTTGCTAGTCCTAGTATATACATTTACAACTACAACATATAAGCTCGTTAGATATTTTTTGGGGGCAGGGTAAGACATGGTGTTGTTGTGGCTTAGAGTGCTTCTGAAATGTGACCTATAGGACTATGTATCTTAAAGATCCCTGTCCCTTACAAACAAGCCATGGGACCCGTAGGGCACACGCTGGGGTAGCTTCACTGAGGCAACAATATCAAGGTTAGGTGACTTAGCATCCATGACTAGGAACCTTGACTCTCCTGTATTTTCATCATGAACATATGAGACAAGGTATCCTTCGTCCTCATCCGCGTTGGGATCATCTGGATTAGTTGCCACAAAAAATGGCTCACCTCCATAGCTTCTTGGACCGAACATCCGGCTAGCCAGTATACATTCCCGTCGATCTTGTGTCACCGACACATCCATCTTCACTACTCCTGTTATCTTTGGCATTGGATCTCCAATTGCTGCATAAACATACTTGTTCTTCTTTCCCAAATAGTTAGGATTTATGACTGAAAAGTCAAGGTTTCTAGCTGACATTGGCTGCCTGGAGACCACCCCTGTCTTGAGATCAATCCTGATCATCTCAACTAATGCATGGATAAGATCCATTCGTTCTAACGTGTGTTCAGCAGATATTATGTTTAGAGCCACTATGATAATGGCTTCGTTTCCATCCTCGTTGACCTCATCCCATGCATTGGTGGCATGTATAAGATTTAATCCTGGCACATCAAATCATCTCATATCCTTCTCATCATTGGCATACCTTGGAATCACTCCAATTCTTGATATCTTCGTGGGGTCCAAACCCACGGGAGATCCACCTCCTAGGATCATTTCAGCAGGGTTCATTGTAATTTGGATATCTGGGAATATTGCATACTTTTTTGTGATAGCAAAGTCGTGAAGGAATGAGGGACGCAGCATTGAGAAGATTGGCACATCTGCTTGTTTATTTCCCTTGGAATCAAATCGGAAGTAGGTGAGAAATGGTGGCATAGGACCATAACGGAAGGCAAATGCCTCCCCTGTCTCTAAATCAACCTTAGGGTGAGCAGTCATGCTCATGAAGAGCTTTCCTTCAAAATCGTTGCGGCCAACTGTTTGAATGTCTCCATTTGGAGTCAATTTGACCTCATATGGGAGGTCTGATTCACCCAGAGCATAGAGCCTGTTGCCAAAGAAGGCTAGGCTAGTGTTGGCTAACCCAATTCCGTTGCTTGGGTTAAATTGCCCAGCAATCATTCTTGCAGCAGCTAGTGATCCCCGAGCTGCAGATCCTAAAAGGCCATTGAACCCTGAGAAGACATTGGGTAAAATACTGGATCCTGCTTCTCGCTCAATTTCGTACTTGTATGTCTTGACATATCGACTACAAAAGATGGCCTTGCCATTAGAAATGCGAATGCTATGGAGCATTCCATCCCCGTCAAACAGGTGGTATGGCCCACGGGGAAGAAACTGCGGGTTGGGGCCATTGCGGATGTAGGCCCCATCAAGGCACGAGGGCAGGGCACCCTCTTCAATCTCACATTCTGTAGGAGGGAGCTCTTCCACCGGAGCAAAGTTCTCTGAGAGGATAAATCTCGGGTCAACTGATGGTCGCGTGGGAGGATCAATGAACTGATTGATAATGTCATCTAGTGTATTTAAAAATGTTGATGGGAGTGATTGTTGTGTTTTATACCTCCTTCCGGAGGCTGGTGGCAAGAGGGTGCTTTTAGGCCGAATTTCAGTGGTAGGTGGAGGCGATGATGATTTTGGAGCTTTGGTGTTTTGAGATGTTGGTAATGAGGACGGGATGGTGGGTGTAGGTGATGAATTTATGGCTCCCTGAGGCTTATCTTCGATCCGCACTGAAGAAATGTAAATTCGAGGGGGTGATGATGGGTGTCTAATTAGAATATTAGGGACCTTTGTATGTGGTATTGATGAGAGGAAGGAAGAAGAAAAAGAATCCATCAGGGTGAATATACTTAAGAATTATTAAAATAAAAAAATTAGGGAGAGCTGCCCCTTCCAAGGATGAGGAAGTCACTTGTGCTCATAGAGCTTTTATAATGTGGAAGAATAGTTGAGCTTTTTTTTCTCTTTAAACTTCCTAATTCATGCATTTTTCATCTGTTCAATTATTCCCAACTGCACTAGGTATGACAATTGACATGTTGAGAAACAATGTCCTCTCTCTCATTTCTGTTGCTTCTGAAGAAATATCGTTGTGGGGGACCAATATCATGATTTTCTCAACTTTGGTTATTTTGCTTACTTGTTTGGCTAGCATAAAGCAGTGCAAGAATATCTAGCTTTTGTGTTGTAAAATCAATTCCTTGTCAAATTATGTCCACCTTAAATCATATGGTTTATCTTTAGTAAATTGACGTGTTTTCAACCGGGGACCCATTTCGCAATGCCTTTCAACCATATGCATATGATGTAGGTGAAAGTTTAGGTTAAGCAAATTAATTGAGAAAAGGACTGTTTCTTGGAGCTCATTGATCCGTCTATCTCTAATGTTATGGAAAGTTAAAGCTCCTGAATCCATCTTATGGTTTCCTAGAACATAAATGTTATATTTTGTATTTCACAAGGAGATCTATTAGTGTCTTGTTACACAAGCGTGTTTCTCTAGGTTTAGTAGCTGAATCATTACTCATTTGCGTCTCCCTTTTTTTGGGTTTGCTAATTTTGTAAATTATGTAGTATTTTCCTTTTATAGTTAAAGCAGCCACTGAGAAATACAGAGTACTAACTTGTATCCTTAATTAAGGTGTGAAAATTAAATTTATGGAAATGGTGATACTGAGTTATGATGTCTATAGTAGAACATATATGTTACTAAGTTAAAAATAAAAACTGTTTGATGTTCATGATTAACATGTCACTGGTACCTTTTAGCTTTTCTGTGTTACCTTGCTTTCTTGTAATATCCTGTATTTTTTTTTATTTTTTTTTATTTATTTAGTTTATTAATGTATATAATATGCTGCCTTCTTGCTATATACATTTTGTAAGAATTTTAATTTCATAAATTTTAAGATTAGTCAATGTTTGACTGATATGATATTGATCACCTGAAGAACACTTGTGGACATAAACCAACTTTAGAATGCTTTTTCCTGAGAATGTACTGAAAAGTCTGGTTCCATAGTGTGTGCATCCTTTTTTTTCAATCTCTTCTTAGAATACATACAATTACTGGATATTTCCATTAACATTTTATGGTTCCGGGAAGTTTTTGATGATACATCATTTTTGTGAATGGTATGCAGCCTCTCTATTAATGCATGAAAGGGATAGTGTTGTTACTATATCAAGTGATGACAGGGGAATTAACAATGTCCTCTCCTCCGAGTTTGTTGCCCTCCAGAATATCATATTGGGGGACCAGGAATTTGGTTTAGCCAAATCTTCAGTTATTTGCCTAATTGATTGGCCAAATAGCCCAACACAGGCTTGAAGAATTTTCAAAGCAAGGATGTTAACCTTTTCAGGTTTTACCTGTTGCAAATCATCCCCAGCTCTTTCCGGTAGAGTCGTTGTACTGGATTGCACTAGCCAAAGGCAACGTGGTAAGCCTGTGTACATATGAAACTAATAAGTCCTTGTAAATTTATGAAAAAAGGAGATTTGCTGTGTACTTTTTTTCCACCATTTTTACCAAATACAGTGGTCCATTACTCATTCTTTAGGTAATGCTTATTGTTTTGTAACTAATGCTTATTGCTTTTTAATTCGCTGATTGCTTGCTGTTGCAGGGACGCAAACAATATGTAGTGGCTTGTGACTCGCTGATTGCTTGCAGTTACAGGCTTGCAGCGACACAACCTATACGGAGAGAGTGGCTTATGCTTGCAGCTCTAAGTATTGTGATGGCATTTGTAAATTTCAATTTTGCATAGCAAAGGGAAATTTACCAATGTCCTAATATTTTACCATGATGAATTCATGATGATATCGCATCACCATCAATATAATGCAGTTAGCACTATGGACAATGTTGTACGAGAGTGGGGTATTCCTTAGCTTATAACTTATGTGGTTGATGCACTCATGCATATGAACCATTAATGTGCTGCAAACGCAAGAGATATTTATAATTTGTTGAAATTTTGCTACCGTGAATAACATTTTAACATGTAAATGATTGTCCTTTGAATAGGGATAATTATTGTTGGTCCATTTTTATCTAATTTTCTTACTTTTAACAAGTACTCCTTGTCAAAAAAAAAATACTCAAAAGTGAAGACTGTCACGAATCACATGGTTCGTGTATTGGAGGCCCTATTCTTTGTCATCAATTGAATTGAAGCGCATGGCTATATTTCTTTGTACGGAGTAAAGCTAACCGTTGAGAATGACTTCAAAATATGTGGGCAAGACATTATATTTGCACCTATTGTCAATTAGATTTGGGATGGAATCATAAAATTCTAGTAATCTATATTAGACTTATCGGAGATTTTATGTGCTCATAACTATATAGTCTATGAAATATCTTTTCCGTTGTCAATTGACCGGAGGATATGCATGTTTAGTATAAAAACGTAACACATTATCGAACTAATGTCTCCAATTATTTAATGTAAACCTATCCGTTTAGGATAAGTGACTAGTTTGAGATTATTTCATTTCTGAAATGCATCATTTTAGCTGACCTTAAAAAAAAATAGCATTTATCACCTATTGCTCCTATCACATCACTCCCATCACCTAGTATTTAAAAAATTGAAATAGTAGTTTTGGATAATAAGGAAATTATTGAGGTGGTGATGGGGCCTAAAAACGTTTAGAATAAAGTCATTTCGTTGCTTGGGTCGTCTATTTAAAACTTGAAAGCAAAGGTTATGTCTTACTTGGTTTTGATTTTTGCATCATAGGGGAATTCATAAATTACAAGTCACAATTCACAACCATAGATGGCATTGATAATAGAGTTTAAGACGTTTAGGCTAGCTATCCGAAAACACAAAGCCAAGAAAACTTATCTATCTCAAGTTCTTCCATTCTTATTTAATTGAAATTTGGGAGGATGTGGGATATTATACGAGAAGAGAGAGGGAGACGGAGAAAAAACACAACCATAGATGACCTAGGATTGATGACTCATATATTTATTTTCTTATGTCTAAGCATTCCCATTATAGTAACTAGTTTCGTTGTGGAAAATGTTGTTTCAAATGTAATATCCTACATAGCATGAATACATCATCCAACTAATGTACTTGTATTAGATAATGTGTGCTGACACTGACACATATAGCCATATAGGTAAAGGAAATGTGTCCTCGACTCTCGTGCAATTATTAATATAATATGGATCGTATTATGGAGATAATAAGTTCGTTTAGTTGGGTCGTCTTTACGTCTTGCTAGAGACCAATATTGATCATTGGGTCAAACCAATGCCAACTAAATGGATATGAGGTCACACGTTACAATGTTAGGTCGAACAAGAAAATCGAGTCCAAAAGTTGGGCTTTGTGAATAACCGGCCATAAGGAGTAGAAGGGAAATAAGTATTACCCTAATTAGATAATGTGATTATATAATTAAGGATTTAGGGAAAAATAAACTGACGTTCATCTTTCACAAAGAAACAACGTAATATTTTTCCCTTCCTCTCTCTCTACAACCGGTGAGAAACTCCATAGAAGAGGAGATTAATCTCTCCAATCCAACTAGCATTGGTGGAGGTTCGATCTACACTTGTGGACCAATAATAGAGGAGCAACAATTGGGGCTCTAATCTCCGCAAGAAGGTTGAACCCTAATTAGATAATGTGATTATATAATTAAGGATTTAGGGAAAAATAAACTGACGTTCATCTTTCACAGAGAAATAGCGTAATATTTTTCCCTTCCTCTCTCTCTACAACTGGTGAGAAACTCTCCATAGAAGAGGAGATTAATCTCTCCAGTCCAACTAGCATTGGTGGAGGCTCGATCTACACTTGTGGACCAATAATAGAGGAGCAACAATTGGGGCTCTAATCTCCGCAAGAAGGTTGAAGAAAGCTTGGGATTCCACGCATCAAAGGTTAATTCTAAACTATTATGTGCTCCTTTATTTGTGTATGCATGAGATCCTGTTTAGGTACGTATGAATGAGATTCATGAAATTCTGCTCTTAGATTACCTTAAAACCTTACAATAGGAGACACCTAAATACGTATTTGATACACGAAAAAACCATGTTAATCCGTTTGGAGTTTGGACACCATGGCACAAATCGTCATGTCCTACCTTGACATGGTTTTTGCCGATCATTAGACACGCCATATTTACAATTTATAGGCTTTTTTTTTTTAATGGTTTAAAATTCTAGTGTATTTATTCTCTTACAAAAAATCATACTCTCTCTGTCTCTCTTCACTACTAATTCTTCTCTTCATTATTGTCTTTAACTTCTTATTTGCTTGTTTTAAGTAACTTGAATGTGTGAATACTCCGTACCATTTTAGAAGTAATTTACTAAAGGAAAGGTCAAACAAATATAAGCAAATTTATTTGTACAAAGTTCAAGTTCACATCAATAATCAATTAGTAAATTTTATTGACAAGTGAATTCACAATCATTTATTTTTGTAAAGAAACTAATGGATAAGTAAATTAATTACGGAGTACTAATTTCCTTCCAAATAAAATTACTACACATTTATTTTCTTCTACTATATTCTTCCCATGTTCTTGGCGGTGGTGCTAGGGCTTGTCACACAGCATCAGCTTTGCAGGCAAAATTATAGGTGTGTCTTTTTCATCATATCCTTATGTATACTGATTGTTCTACTCTTTTTGCTCTTATTGTTTGGTTCGTGTTCGGTTCCCGTTTCTTCGAAATGGTTGTTTTGCGATATTCAGTCTGTTGTTTTGAAGCTTACCGTTTGCATTGTTAGAAAGGTTCCTCTTGTTTGGATTAGCCCGGCTCATTGGTTGACTACTAATGCACGCCGTCGTCAATTTTTGAATTTACTTTTATGTCTTGTTATTTTGTTTTTAGCTCTTTTTGTCCAAAAAAAAAAAATATATTTCGTATGACTCTTAGTTATCCAAATTTTACTACCTATCATACTATTGCTAGATCCATGATTGTTGTAAATTAATTGTATACTAGATGAAAAACCATGCGATGCACGATTTTTCATACATATATCTCACAGAAAAGATATTTTCCTATATACTCTAAGTTTTTTTTTTTTTTTTTAATTTTTTATTATAATTATTTGATTTATTTTACAATTTAATAATTTCAGACAAAAAAACAAAAAAAAACAAATAATAATTTAATCAAAATGATATTGCCAATTACAAAAGTATAATTTTTTTTAATGTAATTTATAATGCGAATTTATTTATTGTTGTTTTGTATTTTATTCGTTGTTGTTAGTTATATGACAATAATATGATATCTTAAAAAAAAAAAAAATTGTAAATATGATATTTCATTGATTACATATTAGGATAAAATCTTTAATGTGAAAAGATAATAATTTTTTATTTTTAAAATAATTTAAATCCTAAATCATTATTCGTTGCTTTTTACACTTGAAACTAAACTCTCAAATCTATATATCATTTTGTATATTTTTTGTGATCTCTTGATCTCTAACAAATTATCTGTCTTTTCAATTTTTTAGACATAAAATGTTTAAAGAAGGTAAAGTTTTTTATTGCGTTGTAAGTTTTAAATTTTTTTTTATGAAAAAAACATCTTATTAATCGGGTATTTAGATAAAATCATTAATTTCATAAGATAATTTTTATTGTTTTTATTAATTTAAATCCTAATATCCCACGGTTTTTCTTTTACTCCGTATCAACTTTATACAATGAAAAATTAATAAAGTAACCCCAAAACTATAGGGTTAAAATAAAGACGGTGGGAGTAATAGTAAAAGATATGACTTTATAAATTTTTAAATAGTTAAATGAAATATATACTCTATATACTACCAAGAGTGTTGCACTACTAAAATTAATCTAATTGAATAAAATTAAATCTTTATAATAAAAACTTAGAGTATATAGGAAAATATCTTTTCTTGAGATATATGTATGACAATTCGTGCATCACACAGTATTATTTTAACCAATTAAAAGTTAGATTTGTATTTTATTTTAGAATTAAAAAATTCACTTGCCACATAAGCAAAAGTGACGAATGAAATTTTAAATTTTTGCCACGTAGGTAAAAACGACGAATAAAGATTTATTATTTAAATTATTTTAAAAGGAGAGCATTCGGCGCGCCACGTAAGAAAAGGTATTGTTTCGACCAATAAGAAGAAAGATTTGTATTTTATTTTTGAATTAAAAAATTATGTCGCCACCTAGATAAAAGTAACGAATTAGATTTGATATATCTAAAATTTTAATGCCACGTAGATTATAATCCACGAATTAAATTATTTTAATGAAAAAAAATAAAGTAAAAATATAGGAAAAGATAAATTTATTAATTCACTACTACGAGTATAAATCCAAAAAAAAAATATACTAAGAAATATTTAAATGATAAACGCTTATAATAAAATTTGATACCTATCATTACAAGATAAATTTTGATAGTATTTATGATAAGAAATACAAATTGTTCGTTAATTATAATTAAATTAAAATTTGTGATACCTACCATTATAAATTAACACATCATACGACACAAACAAAATTTCGTATCAATAAAAAACCCCATCAAGCGAATTTTGTGTTAGTTTTTGGTCATCAATGGCCGGGTAATTTTTAGCTTAATTTTTGAAATCCTATGTTTAGATTAGTATTTCTAATTATTACTTACATTGTATTAATTTGGGATACTCAACGATTATATGTTTATGTTTTATTTACTAAATGTTTTTTTACATGCAGATCTAACACATAATACGACACAAATAAAATTTCGTATCAATAAAAAACCCCATCAAGCGAATTTTGTGTTAATCTTAGGTTATCAATGTCCGGGTAATTTTTAAAATTTATGTTTAAATTTATATTTTTAATTATTAGTTACATTGTATTTATTTAGGATACTTAACGATTATTTGTTTATGTAATTGCATATGATTAGATGTTGTATACTTAATATATGGATGGCTTTGGTTATTTTTTGAGATGATGAAAAAATTCCAATGCATAGGTTTGATTTTATATCGCAACAATTTTTCATTTATTGGTAAATATATTGTTTTATTTTATATAAATGTAAAGATTTAATTTATATCAATTTCAGTTTGGCTAACATTTCACGGTTCAATTTATCCATTGATGTAGTAGGTTGGTTGTGGACGAAGTTGGTGATTCTATCGAAATAAAAGATATGGTTAAACAATGAATAATGATTTAGGATTTAAATTATTAAAAATTTATCATTTCACATTAAACATTTCATATAACGGAAAAAAATATCATATTTACAATTTATTTATATTTAATAAATTCATTATAAATTATAGTAAAAAAAAATATTAAACTTTTGTAATTTTGTCTGAAATTATTGAATACAATAAATCAAATAATTAAAAATCTTAGATGAAAAAACCCATAAAATTTCATAAAAATAATTTTTGTAACTAGATCATACTTTTGTTTAGGTGGCAAACGAAATTTTTAATTCCAAAATAAAATAGAAATCTAATTTTTAAGGGAAATTCTCAATGGTAGCCCCGAACTTTTGGCAATTCTCAATGGTAGCCAGTTTTTTAAAAAATTCTCAATGGTAGCCCTGAACGTTTTAAAAAGTTGCTTTCGTAGCGTTTATTAGTAAAAAACGTTAAGGTTCTGTTATTAAGTGGTCATTTCGGTTTGATAGGTTAACTAAAGCTAATTAAGGTTATTTTAAAAGGTCAACTAAGCCTTCTTTCAAAAAAAAAAAAAAAAAAAAAAAAAAAAAAAAAAAAAAAAAAAAAAAAAAAAAAAAGGTTAACTAAGCCTGGGCCACGAACGCAGCAGCAGGCAGCATTCAACGCAGCAGCAAGGTGTAGCAGCAGTCAGCGTAGCAGCGCAACCTTTGCACGCACAGCCACCGCAACCAAAGTAGCCGGAAAACGTCGAGCCACCGCAACCACCGACGTCCCAGTTGAACGTCGCGCAACCCTTGCACGCAACCACCTACGGTGGTGCCGCGATGAAGAAAAAGAACAAAAACGTCCCAAAATTCGAACAGTTTCGAATTAAAATCAGGATTTTCTAGCGTTTGATGTTCGAATTTAATCCCAAAACAAGATTTTGGTATCAATTTTCAATCTTATTGAATTAATTTGATGATTTTCATTCAAAATCAAATTGGGGAAAAAGTTAGGGTTCATAAAAACTTTTGAATCAAACTCTTTGATTTCAAAACGAAAATAACAATTATTTACATGATTTTTCAATTCAAATCAAAAGAAAACAAAGCCCTCAATCAATTTCAACACAACTTGTCGAATTAGAGATCAAAATTTCGATTTTGTTTCCCCTTTGTTCGTTCTGTTTTTTTTTTTTTTTTTTAATTTTATAATTAAACGAATTTAATTAAATATCAAAAAGTTAATTCCAATCAATTAAACAGTCTTAAATGCTGACCAACGTCAAATATTTAACCATAGTTCAAAGTTAACGGAAAGTGAACGGTTTCAAAGTAAATAGGCTACGGAAGCAACTTTTTAAAACGTTCAGGGCTACCATTGAGAATTTTTTAAAAAACTGGCTACCATTGAGAATTGCCAAAAGTTCGGGACTACGATTGAGAATTTCCCAATTTTTAATCGGTCGAAAATATACCTTTGCTTATGTGGCGCGCCAAATGTTCTCGAAAAATGCCTACTTTATTTATATATATATTAGATTAGATTAGATTGTAAATTATTGTATTTTTTAAAAATTTAACTTTTTTGATACGAAAATTTATTTTTTGTTAAACAAATAAAAAAAAAAAAAATTAGTCACCGAGCAAATTAGAAGTTGAAGTTCATCAAAATTTCAAGATTGAAAAACTAGACAACTTTAATTCCACGGTTTCGCCTTTTCACTCCATTATCACGTTAATCCTTTTTCCGGCAGATCGGCGGCGGCGGCATATTCGTTCTTTAGGTATTTCAACATCATTCACTTCTACTTACTCTTAAATATTGTAAAACCCTAATCTAAGCTACTTTACATTTTCTATTCAATTTGCAGTTTTAATTGTGAATTTATGAAATTAAAGTTAGTTCTATTGTTGGGAATTATTAAGCATTGATGATTTTGAACAATTCTGATGGTTGAATAAATTTTAGTATTTGATTTTTCTTTCCTAATTTAGGTCCCTTAATGTTTGATGCACTTGTTATTATTTGTATTGATGTAATGCATTGATTATTGAATGTGTATGAATCTAATAATGTATCTGCTTTCACGCATTCGAGGTTCGGGTCATGGACACTTTGTGATTGATAAAAGTCAGCTTGGCTATGATAATTTAGTGATTTAGCTTAGTGATATAAATAACTGGTTAGTGAATAAAAATTGGCTCACCTTTTAGACCTTTAGTAGTTTGTAGAGCCGTGTGCGTCTCACCTCCCATTGCTTCAAGTTCGAGGAGACGTTCCCCCAATTAAATGATTTATGGCTATTCCATATTTACACAGTTTGTTGAGGAATTTTGTGCTTGGTAAATTTTCTGCGAGTCAATTTGTTCAGTCATTGTATACCATATGTTTAAAATGTAGTATGGTGTATGTATTTATCCTTATCCAACTCAATTGGGGCAGGTCACAATACGAAAGAAAGTAGACATGGATATGGTTGAGGGAAGATCGATGAATGGGCAGAAGAAGGGAATTTCGGAATCAAAGAGGAAGATGGGTAGCTTAAGTGAGGTTTTGGGGAGGGAGAAGTCTAGGAGAATTGTGGTGCCAATTGGTGGTGAGTCAAAAATCGATGAAAGGAAACGAGGAAAGAGTGGTGTAGTGGAGGAACTGGATGGAGAGAAGTCAAAAAATGGCTGTAGAAAGCAACATAGCAGTGGGGTTTCAGAAGAATCAGAGACGGAACTGACTTTGGCGGAGATTAAAATGGGGGCATTGAAGAAGAAGTTGAAAGGGAAGAAGAAAGTTAATATTAGGGAGGAGAGAGCGGTGTTGGAGGAGAAGAAGAAGAGGCAGCTAATGTTGATCGAGAATCGGTATATGGAAGTAATGACTGTTGAGGATTCAGACTTTTATGATTTTGATGAGGATAGAGTTGAGAGGAGCTTCAAGAAGGGCCAAGTTTGGGCAATATATGATGATGATGATGGGATGCCTAGGCATTATGGGGTGATAGATGAGGTTGTCTCATTGAATCCATTTGAGGTGAAAATGAGCTGGTTGGACTTTCAGAATGATGGGGATGAGAGGCTGACATCTTGGGAGAAAATGGGATTTCATATATCTTGTGGAGTCTTTGTGGTGGCTAGGAAGGATACTACAAATTTATTGAATATCTTTTCACATTTAGTTAAATGCGAAAGAGCAGCCAAAAAGTTGTACAGGATATACCCTACAAAGGGTTCGATTTGGGCTCTTTACAATGAAAGAGCATTGGATGTAGGGGGCAAGGAATCTTTTAGTAAGGATAAGCGATGTTATGACATTGTTGTGTTTTTAACAAGTTACAGTGAAGTGCATGGATTAAGTATGGCATACCTTGAAAAGGTTAATGGTTTCAGAGCAGTTTTTAAGAGGCGAGAGATTGGGTGTGATGCTATTAGATGGCTTGACAAAGGTGACTTCAGGCTCTTCTCACATCAGATTCCTGCTAGAAAGCTTTCTGAAGAGGAAGCTCCTAATATTTCTGGCTGTTGTTGGGAGCTTGATCCTGCTTCACTCCCACCAGCTTTAGTCACAATTTGTCGGAGAAAATGAAGTTTTTTTGTGATCTAATGCAATGCCATTCTTGTGTTAATGGTAGTAACTAGTATTGGGTTGTATTTGGCAGTTGTGGATCTTTTTCACCTTTTTGATACTTTAATCTCATTGGAAATTAGAATTTTATCTTAAGTTGATGCTCTTTGTTCAAGTGTTGAATAGTTTATGCTTAATCTTGTCTGCTTTCTTAGCCTAAGTTGGCGATGGGCTATTTAAATTACAGAATAATGTCACAATTTGTAAATCACTGAATGTTAAAATATATTATAATCAGTATTTGCTTTGGGATGGAAGAAACTTTATACAGTATATCATTTGCTCATGGTGGATTTGGAAGAGGATATAGTGTTTCACATGTAGATGGACAAAATTTGAACAAAGGTCTGTTATATTCTTTTCAACTGGTTTTTAAAAATTTGGATGATTAAATCTTCCAACAGTTCCTGGTTTCTACTGTAGGTTAGCAAGAGTGCAGGACAGAGTGATCTTTGTTTCAGCTCGAAATATGATGTTCATGTGTTGTGCACAAGTTTGAGAATATTGAGGTATAAAATTGATAATAGAGTATTGTAGTATAATAAGAGTTGTGCTCTTTTCCCTTTAAAGAAAAATAATACAGTTAAGTTTATCACATTTTTACTTACTGTGTGTGGCTTCAACATTAGTAACACCTTTACTTGTCTGTGTTTGTTCCAAGATTATCAAATGATTTAAATTCTTGAACTGTAAGTGCTTTTAGTTTGCTATTGTCAATTGCTTGTTTAGCCTGATTCATCTATGAATTACATCTCTTGTCAAGTTTGGGAAGTTTTAGCTTCAAGTTTATGATAATTTCATTTATTTAAGGAGTAAAGGAGGGTTCTCAACTGTTCCCTTTCCCAGGTACACACATTGCAGATTTTGGGGAAATTAATTAGTACACATACTCTATTTACTTTGGTAGAGATGCAGAAGTTGGGGGATTTCAAGCTTCCGAACTTCTTCAACTACCCACCATACTTCACGTAATTTCTTCTCCCAAGTCATGTTGAATTATCTATTTCAAGCATGCCCACTATATAAAAGTCCTACTATTTCTCTTCTAACTAATGTTTACGTCCTTGTAATAATTTTATTAAAATGCTTTCTTACATATGTTTGTTGGATGATTCTAGATTGCAGCCAGTTAGGGACACTCGAGAGAAGCAGATACAACTCTGGAAGGAGCTAATTCTTGAATTTTGCAGAAGTCAGAAGATATTTGTTATCTCTCTTGAAGAAGACTTCTCTTTATTCTCAAATCCAACTATTGAGAGTAAGGTCCTCTGGTCCTCATTTGCTACATTCTTTCTTTCTTTTTCTTTTTTTTTTTTTTAAAAAAAAAAAAAAAAAAAAAAAAAAAATTGATTTTAAGTTTGTGGGTCATGCCACAGTTCTAGTTCTTCAGTATTTTCAGCTTCTAGAGTACACCACTCGTTACTTTTATTCAAGTCTTTCTGAGACTTTCTCAAGCTTCCAATGCCCTTTCTTTATTACTTTGTAACTTGTTTCCATAATAACCTTTTATTTTCTTGCCTGCTTTACATGTTATTTTGCTAAATGAAAGTTGATAAATTGCTTATTTTGCTTTGTTTCTTCATCCATTTTGAATATTTTGGTTGAATCATTTGTACTTTGTATTAATTATGATGAATATGTTAAATCTTGCTAATTTTTGCTCAGTGTTGAGAGCACGAGGTTATTTCCTTGTTTGATTTTATATGCTGGGCATGCTGCTGAGAATGGCTTATTTTCCTAGAGGCATAACAATGAGAGATTAATATAATTTTTCTTTAAGAGCTTAACTAACAAATTTTTTGGTTAGCATTTTTCTTGTTGTCCATGTAAATGTAAATGTTCCAAATTGCCCTTTCATGTCAAGTTAATTATCCTTACTTTATAATTTGGTGAGCTCACCTCATTATGTTTCTTCCATTTTTGGTCTAACATTAACAAATAAAAATTACTAATTCTCATTTATTTGTTTGTGCAGGATCTCTCAGCCATGAAGCTAAGGAAGCATTTTTGTCAGCATTAGTTGCCGAAGGTTCTACTACTGATGCTATATTAAAATAACAACTGTTTTGAGTGAGTGTTTATTGATGTATCTCAAGTTTTACATCTTACTTTATAGGACGCGTTGAATGGATGGACAAAGGTCATAAAAAATGTCTTGTTCTTTGGCATAGGATTCAGGATTGGGCAGACATAATCCTAAATTTTGTCAGTAAACTTTTTTCGTTATTTTCTCTCTGTTATCTACTCATTTTCTTCAAATTTTGTAAACAGTATGTGCGTCCTTTTATTTCAGGTTAAGAATAATGGGTTGGAAGATAGTGTCATGACTGTTGAAGAGCTGCGTAGCGGTGTTGAATCTAGGGGAACTGGTAAAGAATGCTTGATTTTCTATTTTTGCTCATAGGGGATGAACCACATTAGTGAACTCAATTAGACTATAGTTCTTTGAATGATCACAAATTCTAGGCCGAACTCGCGTAGTGTGAACAAGTTTATTTGATCAAAATGATAGGTTGCAAAATTTTTTGGTTCATAAATCTTATCCTCTTTGCTTTTAAGATAAATTTTTGAGCAATTCCTTTGATCTCTTTGTCAGAGCTTCATGGGATTGACCGCACCGTTCTGATGCGAGCTCTGAAGGTTCTAGAAAACAAAGGAAAGCTTGCAATATTTAAAGGAACTTCTACTGACGATGATGGTGTAAAATTTTCTGTGTAGCTTCTATAAAAAGGGAGTGGGAATGTTATCATACTGTCAAAATATGCTGCTCTGTGAAATTTTGATTGATGATATGAATTTTACGTTTTCAATATTCAAGAATTGAAGTGTTATAGTGAATATATTTATTATGGAGTATAATACAAGGGGTACTGTTTTTAGACAATTTTGTTGTCGCTCTTTCTTGCTATCTTGCCTTCCTCTCAATTCCGTATTGTTGTCAACGATGTCGTTGAAATATTGTTGTTTTTGAAATAATACTCAAGAATGTAATGTATTGTGAACATAGGAATTCTATTACGTAGTAGGAAATATGTTGCTTGTATACAATTATTAAAGCGCTAAATCCAGAAACAACACAAGGTGACAAGGGTAGCAGTTTTACTTTTGCTTGGCCTAATACTTGTATTCCTAACATAAGTTTATACTAAAAACAGTTACTAGAAAAACTGACCTCTATAAATATGCTGCACAGGCCAATTTTGTTAAAGAGCTAAGGCGTTCGTTTAAAAGCATCAGTATGACTGTATTATACATGTCTCTCTACATTTTCGTGAATTCTAAAAGAATATAAGTATGGTACATGTCTCTTCAGATAATAGTTATTTCAAGGAAATTTTCATTTTTACCACCTTCAAATAATGACTTTGTCGAATTTACCACCTCCAAAAAAAAAACATTTACTTTACCACCTCATAAAAAAATTAAACATCAGTTTTACCACCTCATCTGAGCTCAGGTGACGGAAAACGCTTGTGGGGCCCAGCATAACGGCTAGTTTTTGATTTTTTCCCAAATTTCTCTCGATTTCCCTTTTATTTAAACCTAGTTCTTCATTTGTACACCAAATTCTTGCAGATTGGAGATTAATTTTTGCGATTTTCTTCACAAATCAGTATTTTTGGGCAACCTTAACAATCCCAAACCCTCTAATTATCAAACAATCAATTGAACTCCTCGACAACAAGCATAAAAAAGGTAAGCCATTGTCGTTAATTCTCTAGCAATTTTCGTGATTTCAGTTGTAATTTTTTGGCAATTCGTTGCGTGATTATGTTGCATTTGCTAAGAGTAATTGAAATTGGGCGTTTTGTGAGGTCAATTAAACCCCAATTTCAATTAAAATACTTAGGGTTCATGTAAGATTAAATTAGATTGGGGTTTTTTGTTATGTGAATTGGCTACTGAAATTAGGGTTATATTATGGTGATTGTGTTCAAATACAATTAATTTCATTCTTGTTCTTACTGAATTTCAGAAGGGAATGTCTTCAGTTAGCATGTCACCCTCAAAGGAGAAAAAATGCCAATGTGGAGTTCCAATGTCTAGGCTGACTGCTTGGACTAGGGAGAACCCTGGACGCAAGTTTAGGACCTGCAAATTCTATGATCCTGTGACTGAGTCAAGGGGGTGTAAAGCTTTTGAGTGGGTGGATCAACCAGATGGAACACCTTGGCAAACAGAGGTGATTAACAACTTGCTGCTGGACAAGAAACTAATGAAGGGAGAGCTGAATGACATGAAGAGGGAAGTTGATGATGTTAGTGGACAAAGGAGGTGCTTGCTCAATGAGATTGACAGCTTGAAGATGAAATGCAAAGCTCTTAGCTCAGACAGGAAGAAGATGATCAAGGAAGTGCATGGCAGCAATGCAACAACAAAGAAAATGCTCACAGTACATGCTATTGTTGTGTTTTGTTGTTTTGGTTTGGTACTGGCTATGTATTTTAGATCTTAGGTTCATTTAGGAATGCTTAGAAACAAAAAAAATCCCCAACTTATGTTGTGTTTTGTTGAATTATTATGTGTGGATGTTGGGATGACATTTCTTGTACTACTTTTAACTAAATCAATGAGAAATGGAACTTTTTGGTAGAAACATATCACATTTCGTATTAGTACTTGCAACACAATGTTTTTAATTGTTTTACATTGGCTGAGACAAAAGTTAAGGCACCTTTGTGCAAAATCATTGTTCAACTATCATTGTTCAACTACCAAATAAACTTGGCTGTCTATTACAAAATACTAATGAGTAGACCTAGGGTCACAGTTGATTGAGATCCTTGTCCTTCTTGCTTGTCATTACATGAAGCTTGGACCTGGTCTGTATTTTGACTTTGGGAGGAGTAGTTGTTGGCACTCTTGTGGGCTGACTCAGGCTCCTGTTGCTCCTGGTAACAGGCTGAGTTGGCAAAGGCTCTGTTCTTGTTGCAGGCTGGCTTGACACAGCAGTTGCAGGTGCAGCATTACTTGACCCAGCCTGTGCTGTTGTTGGAGGCTGATATTGTGGCAACTTCAGTGCAGCCTGCAATCACAGTATGACAAGACTCAGAAACAAAGCCACTAAATACACTCAAGTCACAAAATACACAAAATACCTGTCTTGCTGCTTTCTCTTCACTTTTCTTTCTCTGTTCTTTAAGCCAAGGAGTCTGCATCTGTGGCCTCCCACCCTTTGGATTTGTTGCAGGTGGGTTAGGCTGTTCTGGTGCTGCTTCAGCCTGGCATGTTTTGGCAAAGTGGCCAAACCCACCACAGTTCTTGCATTGTTTCTTCACCTTTGGCTTCTTGCCCTCAGGTGCTGCAGAAGTGCCCTCCCCTGGTTCAAGCTTTCTCTTTTTTGCCTTAGGTCTTCCTGGCTGCACTTTCAGCATAGGTGGCAAAGGCTGTCTGAGCTTGACCTTTTCCCAATTCTTAGGGCCAGGCATTGGCTGTATTGGGTTCTCATATGCAGCCAAGTATGTCACCCTATAGTAATGTGGGTGCACATACAACTCAGGATCATCCCTTTTGTCCATTATGCAAGCAAATGCATGGACACAAGGTATTCCTGTCAACTCCCATCTATAACAAGTGCATTTTCTCTCTTGTAGATCCACAATGCACTGATCATCCTTGTATTTCACCTCATAAATTTCATTCCTTGAAGCTGTAACCTCACATGTCATGTCATACTTCTCCAACCCATCAAAGACTTTGTTGACAAATGGGGTTAGTAAACCTTCCCAAGACTTTGCTGCCTCCCATTTGTCATTACTCCTCTTCATCATATATCTTCTAAGCCATTCCATTTGAGTTAGAATAGGCTTGTCTCTGGCATCTCTAATCACTGCATTAAATGTCTCACACATGTTGTTTAACAACATGTTAGACTTGCAGTTTGTAGAGAAAGCATGCCTTGACCAGTGCTGGGGGTCAATGTTTGACAGCCACTGGTATGCTTCTTCATCCAAAAAATTGATATTTTCCATAGCAACTTCAAACTCAAACTGATACAACCACACACATGACAACCATTCAACACAACATAGACACATGGCATACAGTTTTCACAAAATAGAAAGACATGCAAATATGTGCAAAACTAAATGTTCCTAGCATACATTATAGTTCACCATAAAACTGACATAAAAGAACCTAAATAGAAGCTTACCAGAGTGCTTGCCCTAGCAGCAGCCCTGAACAATTCCTTGAAAGTTGCACCATGAAATTTCAGTTTGAAATTTGACCAAATATGCCTCACACAAAATCTGAGCTCAGCTTTGGGGGCCACATCTGCAAATGCTTCTATGAGACCCTACACACAAGGCAAAACTGACAAGTTAGTGTACAGAAAATTCAAATAAAGCAAAGTAATTTAAACACAAACACAACCCACTTACTTTCTGTCTGTCAGACATAAAAGTCAAGCCATCTCCTTGGTCATACACACAAAGTGCCTTGAGCAAGCTCTCCAGAAACCAGCACCAGCTGTCCTTGTTCTCAATCTCTGCAGTTGCCCAAACAATTGGGAAGATGGCATTATTGCCATCTTTTCCAACTGCAACCAAGATCTGCCTAGGGTATGCCCCTTTTAGATGGCACCCATCCACCCCAATTACTGGTCTGCAACCAGAAATGAATCCATCCCTAAGTGCAGCTAAGCACACAAACATCCTCATAAAAATTGGTCTTTCAATTTGATTAATATCATCCACCACCACATTACACTCACTCCCTGGGTTCCATTTCAGCAGTGCCTTCCCATAGTCCCAAACCTTTGAGTATTGCTCTGATGAAGAGCCATATATTATAAGCTTTGCCCTGCTTCTAGCCAACCAAGCCTTGGAGTATGTAATTTTGATCCCCAAGTCATTCAAGGCCCTGTCCTGAATCTGTTTAATCTTCCATCTGGGGTTTCCCCTGAACTCCTCCAAGTACCTGTCAGCAAGGAGCTCTGATGTCACCTTGTTGTTCATTTTACTCCTAACACACCTATGCTTCAGCCTTAGTGTCTTAATTTGCAAGCCTCTGATTTCACAAGCCTTGTTGCATAAAACTTGAACCTACACCTAACACCCTTACTACATGTACACTTCACTATCCTACAATTGTTCTTGTTATACACACACTTGCATTTCCTTTTGCAATATGTTGTTAGCCTCTTTGAATCATTGTGAAGAAGGTAATACTCATACCTATTTTCAATTGCATGTTGTCTCAAAGCTTTTCTCATTGTTTGCACATCACTGAACCTTTGACCAACTACAAATTTGATAGCCCTTTCAAAGTCTGTCTCAGGGTTAAACCAAGTAACACTACCCTGATCATCATCTGAATCACCTTCCACACTCTTTAGCTCATCAGAATCACAAGCCGCCTCCTCTTCAACCCTCACTTCAATTTTCTGTAGATTTCTTTCTATGTCAAACCCTGTGTCCTCATCATCACTTTGATCCCCTCCTTCAGTAACTCCCCTCAAACTGCCTTTCACCTCATTGTTAATATGGTCTAAATTTTTCTTCAACCACTGTTCATCATCATCAGAGTATAAGTCCTCCTCTCCCTCATCAACTTCTAACTCAATATCACTCAACTCAGAATCAGAAGACTCTGTATCACCATCCTCATCACTAAACACATCACTGTCATCCCTTAAGCTCCTCACTCATTCTTTTATTTTTCTCACTAAAGTAGCAAAATTTCCAGTCTCATCCCCCACCTTAGCCTTACCCTTATCTGCAGCAGTGAGTTTACCCTTCCCTTTATGTGTATTAGCATTCACATTCTCTGCCCTAGGAAGCCTCTCCTCAGCCTCTCTGTCACGTATAACAATGCCTTTTAACCTAGGGCTTCTCCTAAATGGCTCTTCTTCAGTGGGCTTACTAAGTTCTGGGCTGGGTTTATATACTTTAGGCCCACCAAACCTCTTTTTCAGTTCTTTCCTTTGTGCAGGGGTTAGCTCATTCCCAGCTATACATTTGAAGGGTGTTTTGTTAGTCCCTTCAATTGGCTCATGACTGGTAACATACATCTCACATGCCCCCTCTTTGTTCACAGACTCTAGGAAACCATTCACCTCACCATCAACAAGCTCCCTTTTACCATTCACCCAAGACTTGCCCTTTTGTTTATACCAGCAACTAAACCCCCTAGGAACCTTCACATTCACATACACAAACCCATGTATAGCTGCTTGCCTCAAAAAGTGTACATCTATCTTATTTTTTTCCACTTTTCTCATCCAATAAACCCACCCACCATCCCAAGTTAACACCCTCCTATTTTTACCAGCTAAAGAAGGTATAAAGGCACCCCCTACTGTAATTTTTAAGTCCACTGTGTCCATTCTGTAACAACACCAACAAAAGCACACACAACAATAACCAATTTCAGTAATTACAGTAAACAACAACAACCAATTCACCAATTACAGCAAGTAAAAGCAATTCACATTGACTATGCACTAAATTAACAGTAAACAAGTAAATCTAATTAACTAATTATTTAACAAATGCACACTTTAATTCAGTCAAAGATTCGCATAATTAGGGTTTATAATACTTTAATTCACAGATTCCCAAAAAAGGCATACTTTACCCCAATTGACAACCATAAATCCAACGAAATGTACTAATAAAGGGTTTAAAGTACCTCTTGTAGTCAGGAATCTCGATTTCTGTCAGCAAATTACCAAGCTTTTGGTCCCCTCACCCTGTGGAAGATGACAAGAGAAGCTGATGTGTTGCAATTTTCTGGTACCAGCTCGATTTCAACCACCCAAATTGATCTAGGGTTTCAGTTTTTACAGAGAGAAAGAGAAAAATCAAAGGAGAGAGAAGCAGTTACAGTGAGAATCAAGAAAAATCAAAGGAGAGAGAGACGAAAATTGATGAGGAAGTGAGAAATTTGGTGAGACATTGATTATGGAAGGTGGAAGGTGAGAAAAGGAGGAGACAGAGGGAAATCGATTTTAAAAGAATTAAATTGGAGGGAAGTGACAATTAACTGGGCCCCACAAGCGTTTTCCGTCACCTGAGCTCAGATGAGGTGGTAAAACTGATGTTTAATTTTTTTATGAGGTGGTAAAGTAAATGTTTTTTTTTGGAGGTGGTAAATTCGACAAAGTCATTATTTGAAGGTGGTAAAAATGAAAATACCCTTATTTCAAATAATAAAATAGATTTGATTGTAGCACAAATAGAAGGCTCAAAAGCAATGATGAGCACTGAGCAGTCTCAGTAAAACAAATGCATCAACTAGGCAACTCTAGAAGGAAACTACCAAAAAATCAAAATTTTGGAGACATTTACAACTAGTACAAGGCAAAACATTCCACAGTACTACACAATATGGCTTCAGGCGTATGATGGAGCTAGACACTCATCAACCATATCTACAAGGTTTGGATTTTCCAAAGCAGCTGCTACGCGCTCCTTGTCATTCAGCTGTTTATTAACTGCACAAACAGAAGCAATAGTGTTACAGAAATACAGAGTATGCAAGCAACCCAACTACCCAAGGAACAAAAATCTGTGAGGAAGTGCGGTGGCTCTGCAATTTTCCATCTATCATCAGGCTATCATGAAAGGGCATTCAAACAGACCCCCAATTCCCAAAATATTATGCTGGTAACAAAATCACCAATCTCTAATACAGACATACAGTACATACCTGCAGCTTCAGTGGCATGGGTCCCTGGAGCCACTCTAATGTCCACCTGGCAATTGACATAAGCCAAACGTATAAATGACTAACAGATGTAATTTCACCAAAAAGACAAACATAGTTTAAGGTGAATCAGGAACAATCTGATCTCATTACTCTCACAAACGACGGAAAAGAAAAGAATGCATCAACAAAAGGATATTATATCTCCTTTAAAAAACTAACGACAAAAAGAAAAAATTGGGAAGTGATACTAATACATAATCATGAATATTTTAGAACCAGCATAGGAAAATCTAAGCCTACTTAAGAGTTTGGAGTTCGAACTTGATATTATCAGAGATCGCATGCCCTAACCAACCCTTTAATCTGATACTATCCAGCACATGGACAAGTTATATAATCTGAGAGGGTTTCATCGTTTTTTCTCCACCAGTTTAAAATGACCATCTAATTATATATGTAGGTATACATCTATAAGTAAGACTAATTAAGTGGCGGATCTTGGGACAAAAAGTTAGGGGGCCAAGGTTTGATCCTCCAACTTTTTGCTCAAAAAAATAACAATACTTAACCACTATGCCACAACTTTTTATATGCAGTTATTAAACATCATATTACTTGTAACCAAAACATAGATCCTGACCGCCATAACCAAGATCCGCCCCTGGATCAAAAGACCACCAAACACAGAGTATCTATATTTCCTATGCATGCCATCAAATTTCAGCAAAAGGACCTAAAGTAGGCTATCTATGATATATTGATATTACAGTCCATGGGTATCCCTGGGAAAGGGGAGGGGTCATACCAAATCATAAACAACTATGATGCCAACTAGAAATATAAAGCCACTAATCATAATGTCCCCTTTGCCAACTGAGCATTTTATTTTATTCATGCATTTTTAATCAAAGTAAGCTGACAACACTAAATCCTAAAGAAAGTAAGCACACAATCCCAATGTGGTTTAAATCTCCTTGCATCCATCCCAATAAAACCAAATCCTTCTGTATATTGGATAAATTCAGTTCCCTCATCACAGCAGAGTATTATATGTTTATGCAATTACACCTGTCCTTGAACCTCTTGTACCCCATTCTCACAAAATCACAATCACAAAGAATTACCTCTCACTAACTCTAGAAATAATACTAGAGAAACATAATACATTGGTGTTCTTCAAAATTACGGTTCATTAAAAGGAAAATAGAAATTTCAGCCCTAAGGACCTTTTTCCAACTCACAAGCATGATTATTAAGTCAACCACAGGTGGTAAACAACTCCTCCCTTATTCAGCGGAAACAAGATTCCATCAAGTCAAACTTATAGCCACCAGACCAATCACTTCGCTCCTTAATTAGCCCTTCTACTTCTAACTAGCAGGTGTCACAACCTCACAGATCTTTGCCGTGCCCTTGGAGTAGGGGAAGCTTAATTGAAAATTGTTTAAGCTAAATTGAGTGAATGTGGATATATACTTATATTAGCTGCAGTACAGCTGTACAGATAAGACTCTGATCCTATGGCGGTCTACTCAGGTCCCACTAGCTGAGAACTCTAAATATTGGAATGAGAGTTCTGTCACAACCTACGACTCTACTAGTACTTCCTTGGTCGATTAAGTTTATAATACATGATTCTACACAAAACAAGTGAAAACCAATTGTATCCTATACAACTGACAATCTAACATTCATTAAAGTTTCAGATAAATCAAACTATACTTGATAGCTACAAAACTATGATCAGGGTGTGTGATTTGAGGATTAAGGTCAAAGAAATAAAATACACCATCCAAGAAGCCACAATTGCTTAGATAGTAATGAGATAAACAAACACTAGGAGAAAAAAGTACAAAGAGTGATACGTAATTTAATAGTTACATTTCAGTCAGGGATCTTGATTTGGTGTGCTTTTATAGTAATATAGTTATTATGTTTCAAGTATTTCTCCATATACCTTGGAGAGTTGGAGCATATGCCCTGCCTCAAATAGGATCACATATTGAGTAGTATTGCACTGTTGCATGATGAGATTTATTGAATTGACTTACTCCTATTTCAAGCCTTACCAACATAGATGCTGGATTCTCCTATTCTCAATCTGTATTTTTGCACCCCAACCTCATACCACGTTATTTGTTGCCCACTAAGGAATCCTTATTAACATATTCAAATTCATGATTTTCTTACTAGTGCGTTAAAAGATAACTAACAAACCATTCATATTTCAGTTCACTATCCATCTTATACAAAATCACATAAAATAAAAGTTTCTCCGATAGGACAAGCTTATCGAGAAGCACCTAAGAAAAATGACCACAAATGCCAGAAATAATAATTGACTCGTGCAAATGCTCATACCTTGTAACGCGAAGGCAAACTGCGCATAAGTTTCACCCTCAAACAGAGACCAATAACTGTTGCCATACTACAATGTTCAACTGTTGGTGTGAATGTTACTCTGCAATAAGAAGATAAATATAGAACCAAATCATTTACTTGGAAAAATAAAAGAAAGACTACCCAGGCAGAAGTTAAACAAATAACACGTATTCTGTATTCATCCTTACCGAACATGACTACGTTTATCATCAATTTCAACAGATTCTTCTGTTAGCACTTTCAGCTCTTCGAGCGAATATGGATGCTCTGGATCTTTTATGTCTCTAATATGATGTAAAAGCACAGTTAAGTTAAACAAAAATGATATGAATGGCTGCCATCTTGTCAATCCTTTAGATTTACGTATTAGATCAACGCCTAGACTATGGACCCGAATGCACAAATTTGCATAGATTTACAAATTACTAAATTATACAAATATAAACGCCTTACTTATATAACTCAAAACTGTTGAATCAACGAAACCCTCGATTTTGACACCAATATAGCATCATGATCAAAAAACAAGTATACAATTAAACTAGTAATCTCAACAGCAATATAAACAAGCTCAAAGTGCTCAAGACCAATAATTGGCAATACCCACCTCAATTTAAAACCTAAAAAAAAAAATCATAAAATGATTAAAATCAACTAAAACCCCATGATTTTAACCTAATCTAGCATAATGGGCAAATTTAATTCCAAGTTCCAAACTTTAAATTTCCCAACAAAAATTAATAAAAGGATATCAAAAATCTCAAGCTCATCAATAGGTTCAACCGCATACTCATCGCCGACATCGGAAGGTTGGTTGCGAACCCGACGTTCTGACTTCTCGTAAACCGTAGGATTTGCATTTATCAACCCATTTACCATCTTGCTTAATTTGTTGAAATTCTAACCTGCCCACAATTCAATTATAAAACTTTAGAATATAAACATATATTAATTATATATACTTATTAGTATATGATACAAAAATGGACGCGCAAAATCATTTCTTGTTAATCTGAAGAGAGAGTAGTGGGGGATTTCGAACTTCACCTTGTTGCTGCTGCTGCTGAGTGAAGAAGGATGATGAATTTTTGAGGAAATTAAGGTGGTTTATGAAGGGGTTTCTTGTTTTTCTTTTTCGTAGAAAATTTTGTTTATTTTAGGTGAAATTTTTGAGGTGAAAGAACTCAAAGAAGAACCGGCAATCTCAATTAATTTTAAATTATCTCTTTGACAATTGACACAAGTAATAATAATTCTAAAATAAATATTGACTAGAAAAATAATTACATATGAATAACGAAAGTTATGTTTGTATGATGTAGACGAGATTCAATCTCCCTTGGGTATAAGTATCACCCTCAAGATTTTAACAAATAAACTACTCATAATTAACAGTTTTACACCCACTAATAAATTGATACTCTGTATTGTTTTGAAAGCCCTTGACACGACACCAAGCTTAGAATTATTGCATTTCTTTTTTTGTTTTTTTGTTTTGATATCAATAACTAATTAACGAGTTCATTCACATATAACAAATGATAAAAAGTGTGAGATCGGTAAAGTGGTGGTTTGGTTTTGACCAAAACAAGAAGGCATATTGAGGAGGGTGATACATTACAAAAATGGGATTGACACTTAATTATGAGAAAACCTGGTCTAGAGAGATGAACAGGAACATTGGAAGGGACCATTGACAAAACATAGAGGAAGATGCACTTGGTGTATCAACAAGATTTCTTAACCCACCAAAAATATGATCACTGTTTGCAGCCATGTATAGAGCAGTATGGTTAATATCAGAAGTCTTGCTCAGAGTCAAGCGAAGCATGCTTTACCTCCAAACTAGAAGCATGGGCATATCGTATTACAAATATGGGAAAAAGAAAGGAGAAGGGGGGGGGGGGGTGTGGTGAGGGAAATACACCTGTTCTTAGGCATATCTTGTACAAATCTCTCGCTTATATATCACATTACATTCCACCACAAGATAAACAAGTGAAGAAGTCTGCTTACATAACATTCAACAAGATTACAAGAAGACATCAGCCTAATGTGAGAGTTAGCAAGAGCCTCAGATTTTTTTTTTTTTTTTTTTTTGAGGGATAGCAAGAGCTAAGATACATATGAGTACAATGTTAATTTGTGAAGCATCCCAAATATAACGATTTGCCAAGATAATACATGGAAATATTTTCCATGTATCAGAAAATTCTTCAGAGATTCAGGAACTTGAACTTTGTAAAGAAAGTTGCAGACCAAATTGCACATTGCTTTGCTTCTCTTCTACTGTATCATGATTTCAGAACTTCAGTAACAGATGCAGATCAAGTCAGTTCTTCAGCGCTCACTGGCTCATGCAGCTGCAAGTGCAAAGAGATGTGTTAAATTGGAACCATGTATGAAGATCAAGGAGTTGAAGTAATTAGGAACAAATATTTACTAAATCATAAATTGAGAAGCCTTCATGTTTGAAACCACAAGCCATAGTGGCAAAGACCAACCAATAGAACTGAAAATTTCAACAAAGAAATACTTGTATGCAAAATTACTGGACCTTCTCCAAGCACCTTACAATGTGAGAAGCTTAATCTAGAAAGACAGTTGTCAAACAATGAACTTACCGCCTTAGCAACAGCAAACCAATGAAATACTTGTATGCAAAATTACTTGACCTTCTCCAAGCACTTTACAATGTGAGAAGCTTAATCTAGAAAGACAGTTGTCAAACAATGAACTTACCGCCTTAGCAACAGCAAACCAATGAAACACACGCATAGAGGCATCATCTTGGGAAGGAAGACTATCATGGTTCCAAAATGTCATATTTCCACATTTAGCTAGCGTCTCCCAATGGTTTTCACTGCTGTTGGAAGAAATTTCGGGAGCTTTCCCTGTTCCCGCTGTTTTCTTAGTCTTATCTTTATTAGAGTTCTTCTTTCCTATTATAAAGCCTGAAGATCAATCATATAACATACATCATCAAATAAAAAAATCTCTACAAATAGTAACTCTTGTAAAAGCGAAACCCACACTAAATTATCCTCACTTAACTGTACTCCAAATAAGGTGATGGATATCAGTTCTAATCAAGCACTCTAACAGATTTGGATTTACTACGTATAATAATAGTCTGGTAATTACAGAGAGTAATACATGTAAGATTATAATTGTTGGAATGATTTTTAATATGTCAAAGATACCGGGCACAGCCAAAACGGTTACGCAAATTTTATGCCACAAAAACTTATTCAAAATTGAACCACTTAAGCTATGCACTCAACTACAATAACAACTTTCCCACCCATAAAATGATGTGGTATAAAATAGCAAAAGACATCGACAACGAAGCATGAGAACTCCCAAAACACGAGTCATATCAATATATCATGTTACATAGCATAAATAATCCCCCAACTATAAATTTTACATAAAAAGGGGTCCAAATTGAACTATCACAATTCAATTATATGCAGATTTTGACCACCTTACATTACATAAAACATACCACCAATTTGGCAATTTATCAAAAAGACTATACTTTTAACATAATCATCAAATTACTGGAAGTAAAATGTAAAGATAGAAGCTAGAAAGAGGGAGCAAATACCAGAATAACCCTCAGGAAGAGGAACAGTAAACCCTTGCAAATTCCTGCCCCTATAAAATGCTTCTTTCAATTCTAAACCACCATCAACTTCAATCCCTACAAAATTCAACAAAACCCCATTATTTAAGAATTAAAAATAAACTAAATCAAAACAATAAGGATAGTCCAAATTTAAAATAAATAAATAAATAAAAATTGGGGGAAAATAGAAATTACCGGAAGATTTGGGTTTGAAATAATTAGAGACGTCGGAGGGACCATTGGATTTGATGCAACATGGAAGTTGATGAACATCTACTGTTTGTTGTTGTTGTTGAGGAGGAGAGAGAATGACAGTTCCAGAACTTCCTATTAGTGCTGCACTTCCTCCGCCATTGTTGCTCTCCATTTGCAGATAGCGGCTGCAATAGCAATATTGCCTCCCAATTCCCGCCCTCCTTTATTTATTGCAATTGCAATAGCAATTAGCAATATTACCGCCCATTTCCCCTCCCTTTCGGCCTTTCTGGTCTTTCTTAAGGGTTGTTTGGTTGTTAAATTGTACTTTTACTTAAGAAAAAAAAAAAGGACTAATATCATCTCTTAATCTCACAATCTCACACCAAGGATATAACAATAGAAATATGTCATGATAGCAAAAATGTTGTTGTAGGGATGATAGCAAAAATGTTGTTGTAGGGATGTGTTTCGATTAAGGTCATTTTAGTTTATTTCACCTTATTTCATCACCTTATTACTTACATAGTATTTTAGATCAGATTAAAAAATTAAGTTTAAATTAAAAAAAAAAGTTCTACCTTATTGTTTTATGTGCAATTTTTTATTGCTGAATTTCGTAAATAAAAAAATTATGAAAATTACATGCTAAGAAAACACGCGTTATTACGAATCTAGCAAGACCAAAAATTCAAGGATCGATCAAATTAAACAAATAGATAAAATCAGATCAGATAAAAACAAATAATTTTAAATCAAATCATATAAGCAAAAATAAGATGAACTAAACGTTGACTTTCACTCTACCTGGAGACGGAGGAAGTTCTTCTGGGCTTAAAATAGCCCAGTGGGCTTTTGGTTGAAAGAAAATGGGCCGAAATGGGAGTTAATTTTTCTCTCTCTAAAAACTTACGCGACAACGACTTGCCACAACGACAAAAACTTGATTGACCCCCGTCTGCGTCTCCCCCAATTTTTGTCAGAAAACGAGCCCTAATTTCAATTAATTCAATCAATTTTCCCCCTTTTTTATTTGATCTAATTCATTCTCTCAATTTGTCTTTCAAACACAAAATTCACATTGAATTAATTGCCCAATTCATAATTATACCTAATTTTGTTTTTGATTTTACATTAAAATTTGTTTTTTGTGTAGCTGAGTTGATTTGTTTGGTTTGATTCTTCCGACGAGTTCAGCTAATTTTTTGGGTAAGTTTCTTAATTTTTTCTGTTAATTTTTCTGACAATTGAGTTTAATTTTGAATTTGTGGTGGTAATTTGATTAATTTTACGTTTATAGAAAGAAATTGTGGAGTTTGGTATTATAATTGTGAATCATGGGTGAAAGTGAAACGGATAAACCAGCCAAGGAGCCGAAAACGCCGGTTGCGGTTAGCTCGCAAGTAAGATTTTCCTGTTAATTTTTGGATCTTGATGGTGGTTTTTGTTTGTGTGTAATGTGGGATGTTGTTGTGAAGCTGACAATGCTGTTTCATACCTTACTTAATTTCCCAATTGCATTGTCCTATTTAATTGTTGTTATAGGAGCAGACTTCGGCTACGAGCACCGCGGCTGTGAATCCCGAGTGGTCCGGGTTTCAGGTGTGTTATAGAATCATAGAATGTGCCTCCCTTTTTTGGTTTATTTCCCCCCTTTTGTATTCAATTGTTTGATTTGGAATTTGATCAATCAAAAGATGCTGAAACTTGAGTTTTGAACTTATCTTGTAGCTCATCTTGTCATCTGTTTGTACTGTTATCATGTTGTTACATTCCTTGTCTTGTTGGGTACTATTTCAACTCATTTTCCTGTGTCGGATCTTGGAAATTATGGCATGGAAATGGTTACTTTATCGTTTGTTTTGGATTATTAAATGTATAGATTATAGAATATCCATGAAATTGCTGAATTTGACACCTGAATGCGTAATCTTGTCCAACACTTGTAGTTGAGTTTGAGTGACATGGGTTTGGTGTGTAATGCTGATTTTGAGTAACACTAGTTTTTTATCTTGATCGTTTGTTAGCTGAAGAAGCCGTTGTTTTATTATTGTTGTTAAACAGGCATACTCACCTATCCCACCACCACCTGGCTTCTTGGCATCTAGTCCCCAAGCGCACCCCTACATGTGGGGTGTACAGGTATTCCGATCAATTCCAATTTTTGATTGATGGGTCTTATATGTTATTTGTTGTCATGCCTAAACCTTTTTTTTTTTCTCTTTGATGTTGCTTTTGCAATTGCTGTTGTTTGTTGGAGGTCTACTTTAATATGAAAGAATTTTTTTCTCTTTTAAGCTTTGGGGCAGGGGCCTGAGCTGTATTGAAATATGTAAAAGATCATATTGATTGGCTGAGAATCTCATTGTTTTAATTTTTTCTTATATGCTGGTTATAGCCGAGATTCTAATATTGTTTGTTCGATTCACTTTTCGTAGCACATGATGCCTCCATATGGTACTCCACCTCATCCGTATATGGCCATGTATCCTCATGGTGGCTTATATGCTCACCCATCTATGCCGCCGGTAACTATGGTTTATGTTTTTTTCTCTCCACATCTACATTTATGGTTTTGGCATTTAAGTATTTGGATGTAACTTAGTTTTGTACCTCAGGGTTCTTATCCTTTTAGCCCATTTGCAATGCCGTCCCCCAATGGTGTGGCTGAGGCTCCTGTGAGTTTTTAGCATTTTTATTATTTGCTGCAAGTATGTTCTCTCAATGTACGGTGCTCTTGTCTTGATTGGGTAAGAAATAAAAGGATGTTTCTTTTGTAGGGAAATACTCCTGCAAGTGCTGAAGTGGATGGTAAACACACCGAGGGTAAAGAGAAGTTGCCAATCAAAAGATCAAAAGGTATCCTGGGCAGTCTAAATATGATCACAGGCAAAAATAACGGAGAAGGTAAATCAACAGGCCCTGCTGGTAACGGTGCCTGTTCAAAAAGGTATGGATCATCTAGCCTTGGCACCCTTTAACTTTCCTCAAAAATTTCGTCTTCGGATCATTTTGCCTTTTCCTCTCCTGCCTTCTTCTTTACCTATTTTTGTGATGGTATCTTGGAAGTAACCTTTATCAGCTTTCATTGTTTGTCTATAATTCCTTGAAAGTTCAGAGGCTAACACTCATTTAGCTTGTCTGTCTTATTCTTCTTTTTCTTCTTCCATTTTTTTCGGCTGCAGAGGTTTTTAGTGTTTGAGAAAAATAAAAACCATAGCCATTAACTAACAAGATTTCCTGGTGACTTTCTATTTGTTTCATTGTTTTAATTCATGTATTGATCACTTTGTGCATGACAGCACTGCCTGAAATTTATGAATAGTAACTTCAGCTAACTATAAATGCATATGGAATTGCAGTGCAGAGAGTGCAAGTGATGGTTCAAGTGAAGGAAGTGACGCAAATTCGCAAAATGTAATAGATCCTTTATATTTCTTACCATGCAAGATGCACACTTTAAGCTCTTTTATTGACAATTAAAATAGATAGCTATCTTGCATGGAGCAGACAATATATTGATGTAGAGATATTAGAAAACAGATTTTTTGCAATACTGTGGGAGTATATACTTTTGAATGTGCTGCTTTACCTTCCCATATAAATACTATGTAGTAACTTTTATTATACGTCTTTTTCAAATCAAGGTGTGGCTATTATTTAATACGCAGTCACTTGATGCATCTCCAATGGAATCATTATGGCATGACTTTTTTCTGTCTAAAACTAATTGCTGTGGGGCTGTTACATTTGATTTTAGTATTTGTGAAATATGATCAAAAAATGGAATTTGTTTTAATTGATGTATGGTTTGCTCACTTCAGCCTTTTTGTTGAGATATAATGAGTATCTTCTTACTTTTCTTGATTATTTTACTTAGTCCTGACAAGTTTTATGTGAACTTTCATCTTCACACTTACTTTTGATTCTGAACTTTTTCCTGAAGACAAGATATAAATAGGCATATAGCTATGTCTTGTTAGGCTGCATAGATCTATGGTCTTTTATATATATATATATATATATATATATATATATATATATATATATATATATATATATATAATTTTTTTATTTTTTTTTTGTTTTTTTTATTTATTTATTTAATTTATTTTTTTTTTTTTTTGGGGGGGGGGGTGGGACGTGTAGTATAGTTTCTGATTTTGAATTGACATCAATGGACGTACTTATTTTCTTGTATATGTCATATATGATTTCAAATGCCTCTTAGAGACTACTTGTAGAGTATCAAATCACTGTAGAATATGGTCTTATTTTTCCAATAAACTGTATGGTCTTATTTTTTCCAATACACTGTTTTATCTTTGTTGATGCCTGCTATGTTATTTGGATGCTTAACATATTTTGGTGTATCTGTGTCGTACATGGGTGTGCTCCTAGATTTATCCTGGCCAGACACTGTAATACTGTATCCATGTCTGACACTATTGAATGTCCAGGTAGCATAGAATCCAGTGTTTATTACTTCACACTTCATGCAGATCATCAAAGTCAGTGGGTAAACGTTGTTGTGTTTTTCAAATGAAAATTGGTATCTTCATGAATATTGGTGTATTTTGCTTTAATGCAGTTATAGGGGGTCAACTGTGGCCTGTTTTTGTATTGGCCTCTTTGATATTTTTCCTTTTGTTCATGTCTGGTCATACGTCTGTGCCTCTTCTTGATGGTACTCATTTATTGCTTGTATAGGTATTAAGTATCATGTATTAGGAAACTTATTTAAGGCTTTCTGTTTCCTTTTCCATGACCTGAGACTGTATGTGTGCCTTTCTTTTTCTTTTTAAGCCTATGTGAATTATTCAAAGATGCAAAGTATTTATAAACGTGGTAATAAATAACCAACCTTGGCTATTGTCATTTATGTTTCCTCATATGAGGTTTTTTTCTTAATTCATAAACGTATTGCAAGTTTTTTGTGTCGATCGCTGATGCTTCTTTATTTGAGAATTTATTTAACGTGTAACTTAATTATTCCTATTATGATATGGTTTTTGGGCCCATATTTTAACTTTTAGCTTCCGTATTTTTCATTTTGTACACCAATCACATACGAGGAGAAAAAAACCCAATATTCTGTTAGGCGAGTTAGAAAAAAATGAGAATATTAATCCACAACTTTGTATTTAATTCATTAGCGTCTTTCTAATCACTATTCCTGACCAGGCTATTTTACTTTTTACAGGACTCTGGAGAAAGACAAGAAGCTCAAGAAGGTAAAACGTAGCCACAGTTTGATTCTTTAGTTTGACGCATGCTAGTTCTTTGTTATGAAATAAATGTTCTATTTTCTTGCCTGTTTCTGCAGCTGATGTATCTCAAAGTGGAAATTCTTCTGTTGCTGCTCAGAAT